TTACGTTATAACATTTACATAAATACAAGTTCACCTACGACTAAGTTACATTTCCAGAATTCTGAACTCTGAAGTCAGCTACGTTCATATTCTAATTTAGGATTACAGTCGCTCTAAGCTAAATAATTAAATATTTGTTTATTGAACTGAAACTTTTTACGGGAGGGCTTTGAAATTCTGATCTTGCGGATGTTGTATGACGAAAAGTGGTGGGGGTAAACACTACGTACCAGTTCATTCAGGTCGATCATTCAAATCGCGGACGCAGTCCATTATTTACATACCATAAAGTACATAGTAATACAATTACAATTACATGATTACAATGGTCTTTCGTTCAAATACTAATCTTATATTAATTTTATTTAGGACAGTTAACAAGGTACACGTATTTTATTAAGTTTAGAAGGAGTGATCGCATTTGAGTAATGGCGCTAACTTCTACATTCTATAGGTAAAGTCATTTTATCGAACAAAAATTGATTGACTCTCAAGGCGGTACGTAGAGTAGATGCTAGATGGCATAAACCTAAAAAAATAATATTAATCGGTAAGTTTTGAAATTATTGATTGTTATGAATGGATTGGACAAACATCATAATATTTTTTTTGGTTAAAGCCATCTAGCGTCTTTTCTACGTGTCACTATGAGACTTAATCAATTTGGTTCGATATAATTAAAAATAAAATATTTTGTGCAACCGACTTCAATATATATTATTAAGGATAACTTAAAAACTATTCATTCAAATTTATATGGGACCACAAGAAAAGCAACAGCTTTCATATAAAAATAGAATCATCGAAATCGGTTCACCTAGAAAAAAGTTATGAGGTAACACATTGAGTACCTCCTCCTGTTTGAAGTTGTTAGAACATGACTTAATAGAATAAAGTAGATGGCGCTATTAAAAAAAATAACAATGTAAGTAATTTGAAGCCCAATAAGGCAGAGCAGCGTTTATTTAAAATAACAATTTGTAAATTTTCATTTAAATAATTTTTGTTGACATAATATAAAACTTTACTTTAAATAAAATAAAATTACATAAATAATAGATAATTACCTAATTAACAAACTAAACCACACCTTGACAAGTCTACTGCTGAACATAGGCCTCCCCCAAGAAATGCTATAGAGCACGGTCCTGAGTCACCTGCGACTTGCGTGATTGCCAGTGATGACCTATGGAATTGAGATGTGGTCCTTCACTGCTGGCCGTATGAAGAAGCTCAAGGTCGCTCAGCAGGCTATGGAGAGGACTATGCTCAGGGTTTCTCTGCGTGATAAACTTAGAAAGGACTATATCCGCAGTAGTACGATAGACCGACATACCCCAACGGATTACTAAGCTGACGTGAGACAACCGATGGGGAAAAACTGTTCTCGAGTGGCAGCCTCGTACCGGTAGCCGAAGTGTAGGGCGACCCCCACTAGATGAAGATACGGTCTGGCAAGACATTCACAGTCATTGATGAATAATTGAAATGTTTCCCTGTAATACAAAAGTTTCACTTCTATCGTGTGTCTTCACGACACACACTGTTTTTATTAATGAAAATTAAAATAAAACACCACTACGTATATTACTTACTACGTAAAGAGTCGTCTGAAATAAGTGAAATAGAAATTCCGGAAGAAGTGGAGAGAGGTAGGGAGATAAGTGTAGATGAAATAATGAAAGCAATGAAAAGCATGAAAGCAGGTAAGGCAGCCGGATATGATAGAGTATCACTCGAAATGCTAAGGGCTGGTGAGGGTGTGGTTGCAGGCCTGCTGCACACCTTGTTTAATTTATGTTGGGAACTGAAACGGGTACCGGAAGACTGGTGCAAAGCCGTTATAGTCCCAATATATAAGGGAAAGGGGTCGCAGCGGGACTGTAAAAACTACCGTGGTATCAGCTTGCTTAGCATTGTGGGTAAACTGTATGCTAAGGTGTTAATTGAAAGAGTTATGGAAGAAACTGATGGAAAAATTTGGGATGTGCAAGCTGGATTTAGAAAGGGGATGGGGTGTACGGATCAAGTCTTTTCCATGCGCATGATAGCGGAGAAGTTTTTGGCTAAAAACCAGAAAGTTTTTTGTGCGTTCTTGGACTTGGAAAAGGCTTATGACAGAGTGGACAGGAACGTGTTATGGCAAACACTGAACTCATTTGGGTTGAGCGCTGGCTTGATACAGGCATTAAGGTCTCTTTATAGGGACTCTAGTGCTTGTGTCAGGATCAACGGGGTCTACTCGGACTGGTTTGGCATTCATAAAGGTGTCAGACAGGGATGTGTGGCTTCCCCGTGGCTGTTTAACCTATTTATGGACAGTTGTTTGCAAACTTTGAAAGTTGAAGAATGTGGGTTGAGAATGGGTGAGTCAACCGTCAAATGCCTTTTGTACGCCGATGATCAAGTCATATTTGCATCGTCGGCGGCCGAGTTGCAAATGATGGTTACTTTAATGAATTGTTCATTGAAAGAAAGGGGTATGAAAGTGAACGCAAGTAAGACGAAAGTGATGGTTTTTGAAAGAGAAGAAAGTAAAACTTTATGTAAAATAAGAATAGAAGGGGAGTTGATTGAGCAAGTGGATGAGTTTGTATATTTGGGATGTTTATTTAGCAGGGATGGTAGATATGATAAGGATATAGAACGACGAGTGAACGCAGGAAATAGAGTGAATGGGGCTCTACACGCTATTGTGAGGAGTCAGAATGTGTCAACTAAGGCACGTATGGCAATTCATAATGCTGTGTTAGTACCCACTTTAATGTATGGTAGTGAAAGTTGGGTCTGGCAGAAGAAGCATGAGAGTAGAATAAATGCTGTAGAAATGCGTTCCTTAAGGAGTATGCTAGGGCTGAATCTGAATGACAGGGTGAGAAATAGTGTAATAAGAGAAAAGTGTGGTTTGCAAGATGACGTTGTGACAAGGATTAAGAAAGGAATGCTTCGGTGGTTTGGTCACGTAGAAAGAATGAACGAGGAAAGAGTGACAAAGCAAATTTATGTTGCAGAAGTGAACGGCAGGGTCGGGAAGGGACGCCCTAGACGAAGGTTTATCGACCAGATCGGCGATACATTGAAAATGGGCCAGATTAGGAGTACCCTTAACCGACGAGCGTGTATGCGTAGATATATGGATGTGAAAGAGGCGAGAGAGGTGTGTCAGGATCGCGCCAAATGGAAGTCCGTAGTCTCTGCCTACCCCTCTGGGTGACAGGCGTGAGTGTTTATATATGTATGTATGTATGTAAATCTGAATTACACTTTAAAATTGTTTTGTAATGGCTGACCTTTCTAGCCGCACCCTCTAGGTTCACCCGCCCCTAAGCTATTATAATATACATATTGGGTGTGGCGTAAAGAGTAGATAAACCTTTAACTACGAGTGGAGGACATCAGAACTGTTCAGAAAATTAAACCATGTACCCAGTAAAAGTCTCACGGTTTTCGAGTTATGGGACATTTACGAAATTTTCCTAATTTTTTTTTTTTAGTAAGGAATTTTCTCGACCTGTTTTTTTTGTAGCATTCCTTAAGACACAAAGATCAAATACTAACTGCTATTTTGGTGCTACATTTAAAGTTTCTTTTAAAAAGATATTTTTCAAAACAAAAACATGTTTGCTGCAGCAAGACGGTTGCCCTGCGCATTACGCCCATAACGTGAGAGAGTACCTCAACGAAACATATCCAAATTCTGTGGCCAGCACGGTCCCCAGATCCTTAACCCGACTCTTTTCTATTTGTGATCTTGGCACCGAAAAGAATGGATAAGAGTAAAAAAATTAGAAAATTTCGTAAATGTCCCATAATTCGAAAACCGTGAGACTTTTACTGGGTATATTTTTTTTTATTTTCTGAACAGTTATGATGTCCCCCACCCGTAGTTAAAGATATTAACACTCTTTACGCCACATCCTGTATATTATACTGACCTGTAGAAATTGTACGAGGAAAAAAACATCTTCTAAATCGCACAGTGGTGGACCGCCAATCATCAAATTGGTGTGGATGATATCGGGAGTTCTGCCGCGATGTGCGTTCGTGAAATTAGGCGGCTGGAATTAATCCGAACATTCCTCAGAGCACTCTCCGTGGTAGATTCGATAGAAAATGCAAGAGGATGCAACATCCCTACGCAGTGCCAGTGTATCGAGCCAATCAGAAGAACTCGGTCGTCGACGATTCGAACCGCTCTGCGCTGGATGCGGTCAAGTGGAAGGAGCCGGTACCGGGGTGCCCCGGCCCAAAGATGAGAACAGTATTCTATGAGGCCGCACTTGCGCTTTGTAAAGTTGCAAGCGTTGTGCCGGCATGAAATACTGTCTCGCTCTGCTAAGTACGCCAAGCTTTTTAGAGGCCAATTTGACCTTCCCTTCCAAGTGACCACGAAACTGCACACTATTCGATATGTCGACGCCGAGGATTCCGATGCTAGCTTAGGCAGCAAGGGGAGTGCCCTGAAACTGAGGAGATACGACAAAGAGGTTCTTTTTAGCGGTAAACGCGCAAACTTGTGTCTTCTGGGGATTGAACTGGACTAGATTTAGTCGCCCCCAATGCGAGACTTTGTTCAGTAAAGACCCGACTTCAGACACAAGTTTGTCCTGGTACTCGGCGACTTTTTACCGAGAAATATTGGCACAAATAGCCATTAAGATTTACGTGGAGAATAATTTTGTAAAGTAGGTATATTGAGTCAAGTTGTAAAATAAAATTAAAGGATAAAACTGCTTCACAAAGGCATCTAAAATGTATAGGTATTTATGAAAATTAATTTTGTTCGTTACAAAACCACCTAAATCCGGAAAGATCTCGATGCTTCGCTATAAATTTAATAGCTAACTACTCGTTACTATAATAATAACGATAGAGGAAGAAATAGCAGTACCACCCACTAACGTGATCTAATGATCCTCCCACATTCACTCACTTCCCCTGCTTCTCTCGGTTTCTCACATGCGTGTGTAAAAAATTGATCATTTTTAACTATTGTATAGGTACGTTAAGCTGGCGAGATCAGCACTACTCGTTGGACAACGACAAGATCCTGCTCCGCGGCTGCGTGCTGCGGAACACGTCGTGGTGTTACGGTGTGGTCGTGTTCGCCGGGAAGGACACGAAACTCATGCAGAACTCCGGGAAGACCAAGTTCAAACGTACCAGCATTGATAGGCTACTTAATTTTCTTATTATAGGGGTAAGTGACGAGAATCGTACAAACGTTTCACCCGGTCATTTCTTACTCTTCGACTTATGGTATATCTAGAACCGAACAAAACAAAACATAAACCAATTACTATCAGTAAGAGAATGGTATAAAATTATAGTCTAGTACCGTCTCCGTTAAAGCCTATCAAAAGTTCACTGCTGAACATGGCCCCCCTCATAGATTGCCTCCCCCAACGTTTCGGGAAAAATCCTGAATATACCGTCATAATCATCGATATATATGTATTACGCACTAGATTTCGCATTCCGAACATTGACTATATTCAGCTGAACTGTAATGCAATCCGTACAAACTAAATATTGCGTAAATTGAAGATTTGGGAATTCCATAAGATTATTATTATTATATTTTATTTAGAAATATGTTTGTTCAAATTAAAATAAGATATTTTATATTAAATTCTTATATTTATTTTATATTATTATCTTGTTTTATAACAAATTAAGGTCTTCGCGCATACGCGACTACTACTCCCGCGCATGCGCGAAGACGTAGAGTAGGACACAATTTTTGTTTGGAAGGGCTTCTCTAGTACGTAGTACATATAACTCAATGGTCATAATATTATAGGTTGCACAACAAACTTATCGGAATTGGGTAATTTTTTGTAATGTTTTAAGTATTTCGCTAGACTGTAAACTTATCCATCCTTATTATCAAAAGGATCGTTCAGAAGAATCAGAACAAAAAAACATGTATCAAAAGTAACAACTATGAGGAATGAGAAATTTTAATAGCGCGATCAATTATTATTATTGAACATTAATCGTGCAAGTAAAGCTTGCTTATAATATATTTAGCATAACCGACTTTTTTAAAATCAACCGCTAATTATTTAGTTTTTCTACAACAAGTATGATGTGCGCATTTTTATATAGGTACTAAAATTTCACTCTTTATACATTAGTATTAAGAAGTCATTGCTGCACATAAACTATCTCAAAGGGTGAAATAAATCATGATTTTAACAGTGGTAAAGCCACGCGACAGCTTTTGCTGTCGCACGGATGGGCCGGCTCGAACCGGGGTGGTACCACGACCTCACAGAAAACCAGCGTGAAGTAGAGGTTTACCTCTGCGTTTCGCTTGGTGAGTGCAGGTGGCCGGAGGCCCTTTTTACTGGAAATGAGGCATTCCATCTTAGTCCTCACGGGTGACAACGCAACTACATTTTGATTTGTAATAGAGGATAGATATAGATGTCTATGGGCCGCAGCAACCACTTACCATCAGGTGGACTGTGTGCTCGTTTGTCACCCTTATCCTATAAAAAAAAAATGATATTGATATGCCAATTTGCATTATTCGGCTTCATCAGCGGTCGGTTTAAGAGGCCTGACCGGTTATTGGGTTGGTTAATGGATTTTACAAGCTAAATGACCGGCTTATTTTCATTTAACATTAGTAATCCTTCGGGTATATGGGTAACTCTCGTTTATTTTTTTTTGCATTATTTTGTTTATTTATACTGTAGCGTGGTAGCGGTATAAAGCAGTCCATCAATCCATTTTGTGCCGAAAGTTTCGTAATCGCGACTAAGGGCTATGAGAAAAGTTAAGCAAATTACCTGAACACCTTACACAAAGGTAACCGAATAATAAAGCTAGCATTAATATGCACTTGGCTCAGACTCTTGCCAATATCAGTAAACCGGTAAAAGCCGAGATCTAAAACTAAATAAATAAATAATAATAATCTTTATTTGCATAAAACATGGTAAATATGCAGATGTTTTAATTGTATACTACACTCATATTCTGTTGTTTTAACATAGCATGCAAATTAAATGTAAATAATGAGTACATTAAACAATAGAAAAACTGTTTTTACGTGTACAGATAGTATTCTTCCTGCTGTCGATGTGCGTGTTCTGCACGGTGGCGTGCGGCGTGTGGGAGTGGCTGGTGGGGCGCTACTTCCAGGTGTACCTGCCCTGGGACACGCTGGTGCCCGCCGAGCCCGCCTCGGGCGCCGTCGTCATCGCCTTCCTCGTCTTCTTCTCCTACGCGATCGTCATGAACACCGTCGTGCCGATATCGCTCTACGTCTCCGTCGAGGTGACACGTCGCAATATTATTTTATTATTATTAATAATAATGTCCTCCAGACCGAATGACGGTCACGGTGGTTCAGGTGCCCGAGTATATGCGCAAGCACAGATACACTCTCTATTCCTTCACTCTTATAGCCCGATGGGACGGCACTCTGACACGACCGGAGAGAGATCAGGCGCAAGACTGCTTTTTGTGTTTTCCAAGGCACGGAGGCAAAACACCGCCACTTTCTGCCTCCGGGCTGCTACTAACAATTTCTTGACACATAAAAACTCAAAAACTGATTTTTTGGCCCGACTCAAACCCGGGACCTCATAATCAAAAGCCTCGTTAACGGACACTAGATAAATGAGGCAGCCAATTTATTTCAATAACGATAGATACCACAACATATTTTAGATCAATGATACTTCAAGGTGAAACATCTGTATGTCCTTCTAATGAGGATAGACTCGGAGGAATTATAACTTTTGTACTGTCTTAAGTATACACCTTTTGCCGTGTAGTGTCAAATCAAACAAACAATGTACAGCTATGGACTTTTACGGACTAATAAAGAAGCACTCTATTGTTTTTCTTTAATCTCATTTTGTATTAATTTAATTAATTTGTATTAACCTTGTTACAGGTCATAAGATTTGCACAGAGTTTCCTCATAAACTGGGATGAGAAAATGTATTATGATAAGACTGGCACTGCAGCTAAAGCGCGGACAACTACGCTTAATGAAGAACTTGGTATGTGAAAAAGTTGAAAAAGGTTTTGTTGTAATAAGCCGCAGAGTAGCCACCTTCTCGGACATGTATTAAAAGATAATGTAGGATTTATTTAATTTCTCTGTCCCCCTTCCCATTATCGGCCAATATAGGGCTGAGCTAAACTATGAGACCTAAGATGAAATGTGTCACAGCCACCTCTATTATACAAGTACACTGGACTGGCTATACGCTGTAACATATTGAGGCGGTTTCATTTTCGCCATTTTGGCGCTGATAGCAGAAGTGAACGTCCATGGAACTAATCATAGAGATAAGACAGTGTAACAAAATATTTTGATAAAAATTCTATACCAAGCCTAATTTTCTATTTATATATTTTAATGTAATACCATAGGCACAATAAATAAATATATCAATTAATACTTATGTCTTAGACACAAGCTTTATACTTCATATAAATCATAAATCGACGTTGCGTTAATCTACGAGTATCTACATTTTTCTTGCTAACTTTACAACGGGTTTTGTTTCGGTATTCACCATTGTGTGTCTATGGTTCATTCGAGAGGTATAAAAAGGTCTAGTAAGTAGGAAAAACTGGAATAGGTAACTACAAAATAAGAAATATATAATTTTGTAAAGAATTTATTGTTAACCATTAATTTAATACTCGTAATAGAGAAAACTAATAAGCTGCCAAAATATTATGCCTATTTCAACAATATCTGTAAGTATGGCGTGGTAGATCCATGCTGCAGCTAATATTATGGTTGCAGCATGTATGGGTTGGCTCGTCCGGGGTGGGACCACACGCTCATAGAATACCAGCGTAAAATAGCAGCTTAACGCTACTGTGTTTGCTATCCACTTACCATCAGGTGGACTGTGTGCTCGTTTGTTACCCTTATTCTATAAAGAAGGTACAATTAAAGCTTTACAAACTTTAAACTACATTAAAGAATATCATACCACAAATCATTGACGTCATAATCAATTTGCTTCTGACGTCAATTCACGAGTTTTATGCTTTTACTCACACTTTTAGTATATTCAGTTGAAAACCTGTAAATTAATAAATATTTTTGATAATTATCTGTTGCCAGCGACTTTTATTGTTGTAAACAGATAAAAGTAGAAAAACACATTGAAAGGTATTTATCGAACAAGGAACTCGTCAACCCTATTGAGTTTTGTTGTTTATCAAAAATAGGTAATTATATTTTTTATAATTTTTGATAAACTAAATAAAAAATATATATCTTGATATAAAAAATTACTAATATTGTTATAGCCAAATATGTTACTAATTGTGGAATGTTACCACACTTCCCGTCTGGTTACGAATTTTACAAATCACGCACACTATCATCATTGATACTAAAAAATACTTCTTATTATATTACTAACATGAAACATAGCCGAACTACTCACACTCAATCTTTTTCTCGTTTAAAACAACGGTCAATTGCAAATTATGCCAAATTTAGTCCCCTGTACACTCAATGGCGGCGCTTGAAATCGGAGAAGTTCACACCTTCTCCATAACCATACCGCTTCGATTCACTATGATTATGTATTTCATGCCTCGCAAAATCTGTAACTTTTTGGGAAGGTCTTTAAGCTTTTTATAGTTAATATAATGGCATATGGATAAATGATCAGACAAAATAGTTCCAGGCGAGGGAGTTCACAAAAAGTATTTAAAATAAAAACTGTTGACGTTACAAATATATTTTAGGCCAAATCCAGTACATATTTTCGGACAAGACGGGCACATTGACACAGAACATAATGACATTCAACAAATGCTCGATAGCGGGCGTCTGCTACGGTGACGTTGTTGACGAGAATACGGGCGAGACGGTCGAGCTCACAGAGGTAAGTTCCTTATATTTGAAGTTTTTTATATAGTTTTGACTTACGAAACTTAATAAAATGCACCCATTGCAGTATCATTTGGTCCATTTCCCTGCATAGACTCCGCATGTAGGCTGTTTCACTTGAGATTTTAATTTTTTCAATGCTCTGTCACCAATTAAGTTTTAAGAAACTCGCACGGAAAGTGAAACAATTTTGCATGAACTCCAAGTTTGTATGATATTTTTTTTTATTAATGATAACATCTGAACTGTTTTGTTTTTGTTTTCGTTTGTCCTCGCTTTGGGGTTGTCAGGGTTGTACGCCTGATGTGATTTGTTTATGTGTACCATAAGTACCATTCATACCATTAGTTTATAATGTTCATTAATGTATAAGGTTTCAGTATAAATAATTTACATAATGTTTTTATTATTCATGCAACAGCGAATAAATAGTGTGCGAAACAAATAAGTTGGCACCTTTTAAAATTTGCTTATTTTAATGCAAAACTACTGGTTTACACCATATTACCGTATGTATATTTAAGTACGATCGTTTCATTAAGAGATGTACCGCCACCCTTCAGTCAGTAGAAAACACATAGACAGTTTGATCTTGTTTGCATGTACATATGATGCAACAAAGCATATTATGTAGAATGTTGAACGATAATTTAAGATGTATTATATAATATTTTAATTTAAGCGATTGTGCTTTAAACACTACTACACACATCTTAGGTTTATTTAAGACACATTGCCATTTTAATCTTTTTTCTTTTTAATTGTAAGAGAGTATAAATAATGCTAGGTCATCACTTCTATCACACAGAATTATAACAATAACACTAAAAACTATTTGAAGTTTTATTCAATTTTTACACTAGATAGCTAAATAAAACAGATAATAGTTGCTAAAGGATTTTTTCAGATTCGGTGGGTGATCCTTAGCTGTACTAAATGGTTAAATGTAGTAAAAGTAAACTAAGTTTAAAAGCGATGAAATTAAAAACCAAGTGTTGCTACTTAAACCCGCAGCCGATTCAATAATTAGGTGTATGCTTAAGATCGCAAGGCTAAAGTGATAACTCCCCTACGAGTTTATCCGAATGAGTTCCTCTTTTTCGGTTAAACAACGAACGTTTTATCGAAGTCCAACGGATGCTACGTATTCCACTGCCCAAAAATGTGTCGTGTTGCGCCTTAAGCAGTTAATACTTCAAAGGGAGGTGGATTGTGATTGAGGAAGGTTCGATCGCGGTGAAATTGAGATAGTAGGGGCGGTGTGTGATCTGTGTGTGGTACAGCGGGCGCGGGGTGCGAAGGGTGCGAAGGGTGCGCGGGAGGCGCGTGAAGCGCGCGAGGTGCCGCGCGCGCGCCTGCTGGAGCTGGAGCACGAGCAGGGCCGCAGCACGCCGGGCGCGCGCCGCCCCGCCGCCACGTCTGCCACCACGTCTGCCACCACTGCTACGTCCGCCATGCCTGCCACACACGTACGCCCCACGCGCATGCCTCGCAACGCCCTCGACTTATGCGAATGTGTAACCTCTGCCGCTGCTAACGTCCTCCGCAACGATATTTAAAAAGTATAGATACGTTATTGTTAGTTACGCTGTCTGTGTGACGACGCGTAAATTGAGTATTTGTATGGGAGTGGAAAAAGCGCGTCAGTGTACTAATTAGACGGTACGGTAGAGATATGACTGTATGAGTCCCTCGATATTACGAGTCAAGGGGATTCGATTAAAGGACGGGCCAAGAACAAGTATTTGTAAAATATTATAAACAAATATCACACATATTTAATATGACTGCATTTTCAAGAAGGAAATAACGTATCTATAATTTACAAATATCATTGTTCGACACATATCTACCTATTTTTTTATTAATTTACGAAAGTCAATAAAACAAAATATAGTAAGATAATTAAGATCTTTGTTCTCGCATAATACGAAGGCATTGCTATAGCGATGCATCTATACAGGTAGTATGTGGCCATTAACGATGTGACATGTAGTAACGAGAGTTGGGCTAGTGGTTAGAGGAATTACGGCTTGGTCTTGCTGCTAATCTTTGAACGTAATGTGACTCTTTCTTTACGTAAACCTGTTCCTTCCACCAAGTAACACTTTATAAGGTACGCACGGACTTACAACTTCCTATTTTCGATGTTCCTATCTTTATGCTTAACTTAATCCAATAATTTATGAATAATAAATGTAACAAATATATTATGTATTCATTGCTGTTTGGAAGGTGAAATAGAGTCACAAATGCAATTTAACTATCTTTAGCAATAAATCCATTTTACTTTGGGTGATTTAAGGTAAACTAAAATGTTTCCACAACTTTAATAAGCTATTAAATTAACTTGCTAATCGTTTAAACGTGACATTACTTAAATGAAATCAAAGCCGATATAAGTATTTATCATAACCTTACTCTGTCTCACAATTCTCTACACACTTATACACTTACTGCAAACCATGTAAACAATTATAATCAAAATAACTTCTAAAAATTCGTTTGGCATGCATGAATTAGGCTTGCTTTTAGTTAGAAGTTAAAAGATGTTTGTGTTTTAATGGGTTAGATAGCAAAGACTTTTTCAATTCTTTTTCATTTCGATTTAAAATTATTATTTTTAAGATTATTAATTTAAGACGCCTTGGAGTTGCATAAAATGAAAAAGGAAAAACTCTCTGCTAAATTAATCTTGCATGTTTTCTGTAGGTATATAAAACTTTAAAACTTATTTCAGCATATTTATAAATATCAATTGTGCATTCAAATATTATTGCATAACAATACATTTGTATTGGCACTTGTGCAATCATATTTGAATTGCGTATTAATTTCATTTCCTTTCCTGTCCATTTACACCTTTAATTATAGTTAACGTTTTCCTATTGTCTCTCATCTTTACTACTCACATTTATCGTGCTATATTCTTTTGAATCTCGTAATATTAATTTAAGTTTTTAAATTAATTAAATAAGTATTCCAATATCTTTAGATTTTTTTCATAAAATAAATTAAATACCTAATTTATCATTCTTCATAATATGGTATATAATATGCTATTAAACTTTATAAATAAAACCCGTTAGTGTCCTAAAAACCCTTGCATTACAAATTCATTCGCTATCCTCACACTAAGAAAAGACATGAAAATATGCCAATATACAAAATGTTCGAAACAGAACACAGAGCCGCTGGATTTCTCGTTCAATCCGGAGTACGAGCCGGAGTTCAAGTTCTTCGACTCGACGCTGCTAGAGGCGGTGCGGCGTGGCGACCGGCACGTGCACGACTTCTTCCGGCTGCTGGCGCTCTGCCACACCGTCATGCCGGACCAGAAGAACGGACGCCTCGAGTATCAGGTACCAACACAAAATAGTTTTGTATGCTGCAGAAGTACCATTAGAGGCCTATGTTTAGCCGTGGAAGGAATGCCAAAAAGCAGGTCCTGACTTCCTGCAGCTCTAACCAGCTTGTCACTCCACCTATTGGGCGACCGCCCTATACTTCACTTACCGGTATCGGGCCGCTTGAGACTATTTCTTGCCCATCGTTTGTTGGTTCTTCCAACTATATGGCTGGCCCATATAGCTCGAAGAACCAACTTGCCACTTCAGCTAACTGATCCGCTATGTCGGTTACTCTGGTTCTACTGAAAATTACCCACTAAGTCTTTAACAAAGAGAAACTTCGAGCATAACCCTCTCCATAGTTCGCTGAGTGACCTTGAACTTCCTCAAGCGTCAGCGATGAAGGACTACCTATCAGCACAGAATAAATAATAGTACAAAAACAGAAGAATCACTCTCTGATAGCAAACTTGCGAGCTTAAACCTAATTACAACGTCGCTAATGTTCATAATACTTTGCACGTATCGGAAGCGACCTTCTTTAAAATAGCCTACCGATTAAATCATGAAAATAAGATGCTGTCATGGGATCGCTAATCAAATAATAAATTTGTAAGTATGGCGTCAGTAACTAGGTACCTAATAATCTAGATCTACCTATAAATAATAATATCTTACATTTCGATATCCTCAGTTACAGTAAACAGACGCCATTCCTATTGTTATTTAAGCACCCGTATGCTATGCAGTATCTTTTTAGTAGGCTTTTTGGAGTGGCCATACTTGAACAAAAACTCAAAAATAAATATTAAAAGTGCCTAAATCAAGTTGACAATTTATTCTAGGTAAACATACTCGTCAACAACTTCGAGCATAAAACTCACCAACAACTACCGGCTTGTTATGACATGGTCGTTACACATACCTTTGTCTTTTGATTGTGATTTACGTCTCCATGTCTTACACTTCTTAGCAGTGTCTTACAGTTCTTAGCACTCTGGTTCTCTACTCGGATAGACATCGTAACTCTACTGTACAAACACTTCAGCACTGCGATATACCGATAGTCAACTTGGCACCGCTGCAGGGACTGTAGCAACGTCAAAATTTCTACGGAATCAAAGGTTTTTTTCATAGTCCACATGCGCAAGACAAAGTAGTAGATTGATTCCTCGATATTCTTTACAATTTTCCGAAGGGTATGTGTATGTAAATCCGACTTGTTCAGGAGGCTGTAAGTCGTCAAATCTAACTTGAGAACTGACCACGACTTCGACTACGAGTAGTCTACGACTAGACGATGACGACAAATGACTGACGTAGAACCTCTCAATCTCACTCAAACCCGGAAATAACGATGTCACAGCGGTCTTCAACATCGACAAGTTGGCGGCTTTTTCTTGCATTTGACTTCGGAGCGTTAGAGCTAATAATTTTCTGCTCACTAGATGTCGGTAGTTGACACTGAGATAAAGTATTTTTTGTTACACAATGTTATTTAATTGAGAAGTTGGTTTTTAATAAGTTTATCAGTTTCTTGAGTATTATATTAATGCACAAAACAATGCTTCGATAATTTGCTCTTTTATTTTATTGCACATTTTTGACTTTTTTAATTTTTCTACTTTTATGAATATCTGTGGTTTGGTTTATTTATTTTTAATCCTAATAATATAAAATATAGCTAATAGTACGGAAAGAAACAATATCCTTACCATTTTCCGAACAAATTAACTTCCCCGCTATGAAATCTGTCAAATATTATACCTCATTTTCTAGTGGCACCGCCTCCTGGTGGCCGTAAAAGTCGTGGAGTTTATTAAAGTTGTGTAAGTCTGAACCAGGTTCAGTTTCTGTAAAGCCGTTTTTGGAAGAAAGAGTTCATCATAAAGAGTGACCTTGTCGTGAAGCGACAATTAAAAAAAAATAAAAATAGAACCTAACCTAAATACAACAAAACAACAAAGGTAGAGCCAGAAAACAATATATTTAAATTTATAAAAGGTATTTACAATTTTATAAAAAAAATGATGTGAGGATGATGATGAATGAAGTGAGAATACAATTAGATTATAAAAAAAAATAAAGATAAGAGAATAGGGGAATATAGCGTTGAAGTGGGGCCTAAAAGTCGAAGCGACACACGTTGCGTTTGTAGAAGTAGGTTTCTTAGCAGCGACGGCACGCAGCGCCTGAAGCCAGCACACGCCGTTTGCGCTTGTAGAAGTAGGTTTCTTAGCAGCGACGGCGCGCAGCGCCTGGAGCCAGTACACGCAGCGTCCGGAGCCGGCGCACGTAGCGCCTGGAGAAGGGGCGCGCAACGCTTAGAGCCAGCAGTTGCAGCGCCCAAAGGTAGCGCCGGCGGTAGGTGCACTCGGCGCCTGGAGTAAGTAGTAGTAGTGCCCGGAGTAGTGTGGCCCCCGCGCTTGTAGTAGACTCGAAGCGACTTCCGAGGTAGATGGAGGCTTGTAGGATTCCGGAGTGGCGCGGCCCGAGTTTGAAGAAGGCTTCGCCGAAGACTTCACGTGTAAATGGAGGCTTGCAGGATCCCGGGGCAGTGCGGCCCCGGGATAAGGCCTTTAGGAGATACTTCTAATTCGCGAACTGAAGCGAGACTGCCTTTCTTCACCGATTGTTCGGCTTTTATACCTTTCTAGAGAGAACGGAAAAATTATTTAAATTATACGCAAATTTTTTGTAAATGGTCAAGAGAAAAGAGGATTTATGTGGAATTATCGAAATAGGAATAACAGATCGGTAGCAAATTTGAATATAAATACCATGGAAACGATATAAATAAGAAAGACAAAACATGTCAAATTTTTGTTTTTGGTTTATAATAAGAAAACGGTAAGATTTAAGTGGAAAATGAGATATTATTGATATAGGAAAAAAGGTAGCGCAGCTGTCCACGCAAAGTCCAAGATTGTAGAGTTACGGAAAACTAGCTAAAAGATCGAAAAAAGGTAGACTCCATTGACACCAATTTAAAAGTGCTGATAATGTGAAAATACGAAGTAGAAATGATTTGTTATTGTGTTCTTATGGTTTAAAATCGTTACAGGATCCTATGGAAATAAAGGTGATGTAAAATATCCAGTTTTGAGGTGAATGCAGAAAATCGAAACAGAATGGAAAAATGAATTTAAAATAATGTAAAATGATACGTAAGTAGTATAACGCTACAACCTTTCTAAATGGTGTCGGTCAGCTGCTGACATTTTGAGTTCCGGTGCCCTTTTACAAATTTTCCTACTTTCAGCCATCAGACTGTTTTTGTGTGTACATAAATAAATAAAAATATCAAATGTTTGCAAATTCTATAAAGATGTATTAGTTACATTAGTAACTCTTTTAACATAAAAATATATTTTCAGGCTCAGTCACCGGACGAGTCGGCGCTGGTGTCGGCGGCAAGAAATTTCGGTTTTGTGTTCAGAGAACGCTCGCCTAATAGTATTACAATAGAAGTAATGGGTGAAACAGAGGTGAATAATATATCTTTATACTGTACATAATTTATTTTATTACTTTTAAATAGATGGTCAAACATATAAGTGAAGACATTTATATCATAAAGAAATGTATGTTTCTGATGTAATTTTTTTCTAAAATTATGCTGGTTTCCTTATTACGGTTTGTTTTGTTCCAGGTGTACGAATTGTTGTGTATATTAGATTTTAATAATGTTAGGAAACGAATGTCCGTGATTTTAAGGAAGGATGGTGAAATTAGATTATACACGAAAGGTGCTGATAATGTAATTTATGACAGATTAAAAAGAGAAGGACAACAAGAAGTGAGGGCCAGAACGCAAGAGCATTTAAATGTAAGTTTTTCAATTTTATAAAAAGCGATTGCACTAAGGAACTTTTACAAGCAAGCAACTTATAATAAGCATAGTTTATTGAGAATAATCCTGAATTAAATTCATTATCTTTGGAAAGATATGACTTATACTTTTTAATCAAACATTTTAATGTGCGTAAAAAAAAGTTGTGCAACGATAAAAAAACTTCTCAGTGCCTTTTTATCTTTATAAAATAATTCGGGGGAAAAGATCTTATTAGGTTGCACAGTAAGCAGCTGGCTGGTTTTGGTTTGTTTAGAATTTGCCATTATTAATTATGAAATCTAAAATATATATGAATTTTCAGTGACATTCCGTAGTTATGCACAAGCCTCTTCTCGTTCCTAAAAAAGTTATAGGGTCAATCCGCCGCGCACTGGAATACAATGCGTGTTGGCAGATTGCACAGGACCTGCAAATGTTTTTTTTTTTAATTTTTCAAACTTGAAGATTACTTCCCAATATGTTTCTTCACTGTTGAGAATGTTTACTACATGGTATATGCACGTATAGTTGCAATTTGACAATTTCAGTCATGCCGATGGGGATCTAATTCGATTCACTCGCGTACTTTTGAATTTTAAGGCTTTAGATATTAGACGATATAACCACGTTCTATTCAGTTGACGCTGAAATCATTCTTAACTTGACACGCACTCACGAACACATCTTTCTTCAAACTTTTATTATTATTCGGTAAAAGTCTACTGCTGGATGCACAAATATGCAGCTACCGCCATGTTGTTGTGATTTCAGATAAAAATAAGTACGTGAGTGCTTCTTATTAAAATAAGTTGAGTATGATTTGGTTTGCTTTCGGTGTCACTTAATATGTTGTACGCTGCGCTTCGTCCATCTTTCTTTATCCACAGTTACACACATGTGTCAAATCACATTCCACAGACATGTCAAATGTGCGAATCCTTACATTTGTTCAAGAAACAGGTTAAGCAACATTATTTGTCCCTCTAACTCCTCTCTCTTCCTTCTTTCATTAATAGTCAGCGATCTGTCGCATAAAATCTGTTGTCTTTTTAATTCATAATTTGTTATCTTTTGTTACTATAGTCAACCCTACCCGTTGATCTCTATATATTATCTGCTAGAACTGTTTTTTTGATACAAACTAAGTGGATAGACTTCATCTTCTCTTTCCACGGCAGAAGCGATGATGAGGAGCCTATCGACATAGTTCCTATGTGGCTGAGCTTGTTAACCTCATGGAAAGATTTCATGACAATATTCTGCAAGTGTCTACCAATAAGTTTAAACATCGCACATAAAACCAAAATGGTCGCCAGATGCATGACCGCTTTATTAACGGAATTGGATGAGTTAAAAGACAGTCGAGTAGTTTAGTTACTTGCTGAGCTGTATGTAATATTGTTAGCAAATTGGATCTTCCTCCTCTTTTTATTTAATTCTTTATATAGTATATAGGTAGAGCGAATGGTGCCACATCATACCAACACCCTTTTTCCCCACGATTCCACCTCCGTTACGGCGGTAGGGGAGGAGGGACGACGACACCTTTCTCGCCGTAGTTCATTAACATACACCCGAAGTAGGCTAAATTCACTCGGGAGTGGTCACCTTGGGCCTGCCCTTCACTTCGGGCCAGCCACGTGTGAATTGCTCTTTGTTCACCGTGAGTGACCAAGTCATGACTTCTAAGCCCCCCCCCCCTCCCCCCGCTACAATAAGGTGAGAACTCGATGGAGGGGAGGGGTCTGGTCATTATCTTACTTAATCTAACCTATATTTTTATTATGAGAATCTTTATTTCCATTGTGTTTAATTGTTAAATACCATATCTAACCTAACCTAACGTATTTTTTTTATTATGGAAATCTTTATTTCTATTGTGTTTAATCGTTAAATACCATATTATCAAAAAAAATCTAACCTAACCTACCATATCTTTTTATTACTTTGCTCAGTAAATAACGAACTTTATTCATAAAACCTGGTAAATTTAATTATTTCAATAGTTTTTATCATATTTCCTACTCGTATTAGGCATTTTTCAAACTTTCTGGGTATTTATTTGGTATTCATCTGGTCTAGTAATCATTTGGTAGTGGTGGTGTAAAAATATCCACTACTCCATATCAGTCTGTGGGTGTCGTAAGTAACGACAGAGGGAAACAAATCAGGAGATGGGCAGCAGCAACAAATAATGACTAAAATTAAAACTGCGGTTGCCAACCCGCTTGGCAAGCGTGGCAACTATGGGAAAAATTTCCCTATGAGGAGACAATTTATGGGGGAGGCGTATGTTCAGCAGTGGACGGTAACGATAGGTTGAGAGTGAGATAGCTAAGGTGTTGTGCGGTGCACGTGCAGAAGTTCGCGGGCGAGGGGCTGCGCACGCTGGCGCTGGCGTGGCGGCCGCTGGAGGAGCGCGGCTTCGCCGAGTGGAAGCGCCGCCACCAGGCCGCCGCGCTCGCGCTGCGCGACCGCGACGAGCGCCTCGACGCCATCTACGAGGAGATCGAGACCGACCTGCTGCTGCTGGGTGCGTTCCTCCTGTCGTGTTATATTGTTATACGTCACGGGGGCGTGGCGGCCGCTGGAGGAGCGCGGCTTCGCCGAGTGGAAGCGCCGCCACCAGGCCGCCGCGCTCGCGCTGCGCGACCGCGACGAGCGCCTCGACGCCATCTACGAGGAGATCGAGACCGACCTGCTGCTGCTGGGTGCGTTCCTCCTGTCGTGTTATATTGTTATACGTCACGGGGGCGTGGCGGCCGCTGGAGGAGCGCGGCTTCGCCGAGTGGAAGCGCCGCCACCAGGCCGCCGCGCTCGCGCTGCGCGACCGCGACGAGCGCCTCGACGCCATCTACGAGGAGATCGAGACCGACCTGCTGCTGCTGGGTGCGTTCCTCCTGTCGTGTTATATTGTTATACGTCACGGGGGCGTGGCGGCCGCTGGAGGAGCGCGGCTTCGCCGAGTGGAAGCGCCGCCACCAGGCCGCCGCGCTCGCGCTGCGCGACCGCGACGAGCGCCTCGACGCCATCTACGAGGAGATCGAGACCGACCTGCTGCTGCTGGGTGCGTTCCTCCTGTCGTGTTATATTGTTATACGTCACGGGGGCGTGGCGGCCGCTGGAGGAGCGCGGCTTCGCCGAGTGGAAGCGCCGCCACCAGGCCGCCGCGCTCGCGCTGCGCGACCGCGACGAGCGCCTCGACGCCATCTACGAGGAGATCGAGACCGACCTGCTGCTGCTGGGTGCGTTCCTCCTGTCGTGTTATATTGTTATACGTCACGGGGGCGTGGCGGCCGCTGGAGGAGCGCGGCTTCGCCGAGTGGAAGCGCCGCCACCAGGCCGCCGCGCTCGCGCTGCGCGACCGCGACGAGCGCCTCGACGCCATCTACGAAGAGATCGAGACCGACCTGCTGCTGCTGGGTGCGTTCCTCCTGTCGTGTTATATTGTTATACGTCACGGGGGCGTGGCGGCCGCTGGAGGAGCGCGGCTTCGCCGAGTGGAAGCGCCGCCACCAGGCCGCCGCGCTCGCGCTGCGCGACCGCGACGAGCGCCTCGACGCCATCTACGAGGAGATCGAGACCGACCTGCTGCTGCTGGGTGCGTTCCTCCTGTCGTGTTATATTGTTATACGTCACGGGGGCGTGGCGGCCGCTGGAGGAGCGCGGCTTCGCCGAGTGGAAGCGCCGCCACCAGGCCGCCGCGCTCGCGCTGCGCGACCGCGACGAGCGCCTCGACGCCATCTACGAGGAGATCGAGACCGACCTGCTGCTGCTGGGTGCGTTCCTCCTGTCGTGTTATATTGTTATACGTCACGGGGGCGTGGCGGCCGCTGGAGGAGCGCGGCTTCGCCGAGTGGAAGCGCCGCCACCAGGCCGCCGCGCTCGCGCTGCGCGACCGCGACGAGCGCCTCGACGCCATCTACGAGGAGATCGAGACCGACCTGCTGCTGCTGGGTGCGTTCCTCCTGTCGTGTTATATTGTTATACGTCACGGGGGCGTGGCGGCCGCTGGAGGAGCGCGGCTTCGCCGAGTGGAAGCGCCGCCACCAGGCCGCCGCGCTCGCGCTGCGCGACCGCGACGAGCGCCTCGACGCCATCTACGAGGAGATCGAGACCGACCTGCTGCTGCTGGGTGCGTTCCTCCTGTCGTGTTATATTGTTATACGTCACGGGGGCGTGGCGGCCGCTGGAGGAGCGCGGCTTCGCCGAGTGGAAGCGCCGCCACCAGGCCGCCGCGCTCGCGCTGCGCGACCGCGACGAGCGCCTCGACGCCATCTACGAGGAGATCGAGACCGACCTGCTGCTGCTGGGTGCGTTCCTCCTGTCGTGTTATATTGTTATACGTCACGGGGGCGTGGCGGCCGCTGGAGGAGCGCGGCTTCGCCGAGTGGAAGCGCCGCCACCAGGCCGCCGCGCTCGCGCTGCGCGACCGCGACGAGCGCCTCGACGCCATCTACGAGGAGATCGAGACCGACCTGCTGCTGCTGGGTGCGTTCCTCCTGTCGTGTTATATTGTTATACGTCACGGGGGCGTGGCGGCCGCTGGAGGAGCGCGGCTTCGCCGAGTGGAAGCGCCGCCACCAGGCCGCCGCGCTCGCGCTGCGCGACCGCGACGAGCGCCTCGACGCCATCTACGAGGAGATCGAGACCGACCTGCTGCTGCTGGGTGCGTTCCTCCTGTCGTGTTATATTGTTATACGTCACGGGGGCGTGGCGGCCGCTGGAGGAGCGCGGCTTCGCCGAGTGGAAGCGCCGCCACCAGGCCGCCGCGCTCGCGCTGCGCGACCGCGACGAGCGCCTCGACGCCATCTACGAGGAGATCGAGACCGACCTGCTGCTGCTGGGTGCGTTCCTCCTGTCGTGTTATATTGTTATACGTCACGGGGGCGTGGCGGCCGCTGGAGGAGCGCGGCTTCGCCGAGTGGAAGCGCCGCCACCAGGCCGCCGCGCTCGCGCTGCGCGACCGCGACGAGCGCCTCGACGCCATCTACGAGGAGATCGAGACCGACCTGCTGCTGCTGGGTGCGTTCCTCCTGTCGTGTTATATTGTTATACGTCACGGGGGCGTGGCGGCCGCTGGAGGAGCGCGGCTTCGCCGAGTGGAAGCGCCGCCACCAGGCCGCCGCGCTCGCGCTGCGCGACCGCGACGAGCGCCTCGACGCCATCTACGAGGAGATCGAGACCGACCTGCTGCTGCTGGGTGCGTTCCTCCTGTCGTGTTATATTGTTATACGTCATAATGCACGCACGGACGACTGTTACAATTGGCATAATTAAATTTTATATGAAAAACGGGTGTAGATTGCTGAAATTTATCTATAATATGTGTTATAAACGTTTATTGTTTTCATACTGCCAGTATCTCAAAGTACAACCATACATAATGTGAATGTCATTACCCTAAGGCCATTGTAAAACACTTAATAGAATGTGATAAAAAAGTCGCTCAAAGTAAAAATGGTCGGCAAGGAATTTATGATGTTGCCAACTAATAATTACTGACAGATTGATTAAATAAGCTGTGAATTTTGTGTGATTTCAAATGTTTCTTTTTAAGGTTCCGTACTCAAAGGGTAACCTACGAGACCCCTTACTAAGCCTCCGCTGTCCGTCTGTTCGTCTGTTTGTCTGTATATCTGTTTGTCTCCCAGTCTGTCAGCAGGCTGTGTCTCATGATCCGTAATAGATAGACAGTTGAAATTTTCACAGAATGTGTATTTCTGTTTCCACTATATCAACAAATAAAAATTAAAATAAACCAAAAATTAAAAAAGGCTACCCAGTAGGGGAACTCCTACTGGGGACTTTAGGTAAAAAAACATGTTTCTAGTAAGAAACATGTTTTTACCTACATAGTATTCAATCTTATGCGATGGTACGCGGGACCCTTCATATGCGAGTCTGACTCGCACTTGGCCGATTTTTCAATCATGCGTGAGGGCATGACAAGGCAAAAAACATTTATTTTGTATATTAAATATATATGTTTTATATAATAATGGCAATATAGGCAATCTGTGGGAGAGTAATGAACATGGGGTTTTACTTATATAATTAGCTTCAGAGTTAAAAAAATTAATTTAAAAAAGTATCTATAGTTAATTGTGATTTATTCTAGGCGTAACTGCCATAGAAGACAAACTACAAGATGGCGTCCCAGAAACTATAGCAAACCTCAGTATGGCCGGAATAAAGATATGGGTACTAACAGGGGACAAACAAGGTATTTTTTTCTTTTCGTTACCTTTAAATAGATGCTATGCACTACTAGACAATACTGAAAACAGTCTCAAGTGTCTTAATTCGTTATTATGACACAAACAGGGCTTTATGCTTGAAGTTTGATGGCGCTCTTAAAGCTCTCTCTTCTCTACAAATTAATATGGGCACACTTAGCCGACATCAGCCTGTTTAGAAACTGCGTACACTGGTTGTAATTATTGATTTTTCTAAGTGTTTCGGTGATAAAATAAGAAAGTATAATTTTCGTATATTAATTTATAATATTATATTTACTAAACTGATACATAAAACGTCTTATCTTCTTTTTATCATGCAGCCTATACATATAGAAGTACATTGTTGGATATGGGCCTTTCTCGTTGTGTAGAGGGTTTGTCTGCATCGTTACGCTTGGCCGGGTGGATTGTTGATGCCAGTACCAGGCGTATTTAAAGCTGCTCCCCATTGCCGCTATGAATATTTGTAAGTCTGGCGCAAACTAGATGGTGTACCGCCAATTATCGAAAGTCATAAGATTTTCTGGCAGTTTCGATATTCGCCTTTCACGACACCTAAAGAACGAAAAAAGGGGTGATGGTTTCTCTTACACAACTACGACTACGTCAAATTCGTTTTATCATACTAACCTTTTTATTATTTAATGTCCTATCAACGTAAAATGAATTTCACTAGCCAATTAGAGAATATTAACAAGGAAATAGTAAGTTATTGAACAAGTTATTAATAAGTTTAAATTAAACTCATGATAAAATGGACTTAATGCAGGCTCTCCCGAAGGAACCCCCTCTAACCCTTTAAGAATCATTGGATTTTGTTAATGATATGTAGGTATGGATGATTAGATAAAATAAATCATGTATTGGTGAATAAATATTTGTAGCTTAATGTATTGCAATAAAGTAATAAATTAAAAAAGAGAAAATGTCTTATTTTCTAATTTAACTTTAATTCTTTTGTAATATTTTTTTTCTTTGTTCACAGAAACAGCGATCAACATCGGTTACTCGTGCCAGCTGCTAACAGATGACATGGCCGAAGTATTCATCATTGATGGTGTGTCACACGACGATGTGGACCGACAACTTGCTAAGTGTAGAGACTCTATACGAGTTGTAAACACTTTTTTACCACATGGTAAATCAAATATTATTATAAATTAAATAAATATAATTAAGGCGCACTTAATGCTACCTCGCTATCGTATTAAATATAATTTCTAATTGAATTTAGTTGTACATTTATTCTTGACTTCAATTATCTAACGAGAATATTGCTCATTTTATCAGTCCCTCACAAGTCCGCTGCTGAACTTAGGCCTCACCAAATAAAACCCGCAAAATAAAAATTAATAAATCTATTCCACTATAATACTTTTAATTAGAAGGGATAGAAGATGACTGCCCTAAATTTTAGCAGAATAATTTTATAACCTTAACAGATAGCGGAGTAATAATCTCGAAAGTTATCAGATTAAAAGTATCTGGGAGGAGACCATGTTCGATCTACTTTAAATCCATGTAATTTGGTAGGGGTCTATTATAAGGCATACAAAAGTGAAAAGGCCTATGCTAATGTAAGCCAGTACAGTAATCTAAGCGCTATACCATATTCGGCTCACATCACCGCATAATAATATCCAAGCGCTAGTTGTGATAAGTTAACATGTTCATTGCCAATCATGCAACGTTTTTTAATTCGTTTTATCCCGTCACGTGACGTCTCGTAAATTACTCATAGAATTTTGTAAGAAGTGTACTTTGCGAATATACTTGTAGCGGCAAATTAATTTTTTACAGCCCTTTGGAGAAATAATAATATTTTTAAAAGCCATCTTCAAAGCACTATAAAGAATAAAATAATTTCATGAGGTTGGTGGTAAAACCTAATAGAAGAATTAAAGCCTAGATTTTAGAATGTGTAAAGTCATTTTATTGTTTTCAGTTCTTAGAAGTCAGCATTTTTTATTAAAAGTTATTTATTACGCTTTTGAGCGGACTAAGTAATATTGCATATTATATGTTTTAATCCTGTGATTTGGAAAGCACGTAAAGTCGTCGGTCCTGTGGACTATGAAAGTAAATGAAAAGAGACTGCACCTGTGCTTGCGCACACACTCGTATCTTATAATCCCATCCTGTGCTGATGGATAGACCGATCTGGTTTACACTATATTTCCAAAGTTATTACATGACAAAAGGAAATAGGCTCTTATTAAATATTAAGAATAGACTAGAATGTTTTAATGCCCCTGTGACATTCGTTGTTTAAGGTTAGGATTCCCTAATATAAGGCTTTATTGCTCTCCTCTCTGTTGCATGCATTTGTCTTTTGTCATTTGTCCATCACGACGTAAACGTTCGGAATAGATAAAAAGTTACTATATTTGACACGTTTTAGTTTATTATTAGGAAATAAAGGATTGAAATAAAAATGTGATTGATAAAAAATCATCTCAATATCAACATGTCTTTCATATTATCGAAAATATTATATGATTACCACTTGAATTTTTTTTTATCCGGCGATTAATTTTAATAATTATTATTATTTTAATAAACAATACTAGCATTCCTACCAACGTTACTAATATTGTCTTCAATCACTCTTGGTTAGTTTAAAATGCTTGTGTTAGAAGTGGTTAACTACAATAGTCGAATGGCAGGTTCGAACTCACGACTTTTTAAGTTCGCGGACCGCATTTATTATTAGTCTACTTTACTGTGCTCTTAAGTTTAAATTATAATTTTTTATTTTGATTATAATATAAAATATTTGCAAAATATACGATCACCATTAAGAATTTAATTGAGTATTTCAAGAAGTATTGATTCTCGAGCGTCAACATTGTACCTTAATTATATGTATATATATTTATTTATATTTTTGGCCAATCTGGTCTTAATAGTGTAAGGATTGGTTTACATATCTTGCGCATTGTGATATTCTGTCTGGAGGACAATATTATTATTTTTATGGTTGGGCAATGAACGTGTTACGAGTATAAAGAATATTGTTAGTCGAGCTGGAGTGTCGTGTGTGTTGACGTGTCGCTGTGCAGGGTCGGGCTCGCACGGGTCCGCGAACGGCGGCACGAGTGCGGCGCGCCCGTCGCCCGGCCGCGCCGCCAACGTCAAGCTGAACGCGCCCGCCGTGTCCGTCGTCACATTTAGGTGGGAACATAACTCACTAGCCCAACTGCCACACAGGTAGACACCGACGCGACGCTATATACCGCCACACCCCGCCTCTCCGCCTCTCCGCCTCACCACCTCACCACCTCACCACCCCTCCGCCGCACGTGTGCGCTTAAGTGTGTGTCTTGTCGCATGTCCTTTATCAAAACCCGTTCACTGCATAAAACTTAATTTAACAGATACTTACATGACCACCAAATACATACTTACATGATAATCCTTGAATAGTTTTTATATTACTAATTTACTATTATTATTGCCTTTTTTTTTTTAGTGACCCGTAAACGTCCACTTCAGGACATATGATTCTCTATTCTCAGGTTGTAGGAAGAATTTGCCTTAATCTTTACGCTCGGCAGATGAATTGATGATCGCAGAAACAGACGTCCTTTTGACACAGTTGGTATTTTACGTCCGACTTAAACGGTGGTTATACCGCCATCTATCAAAAGACAATACGGCATTTTCTATAGACTCCTCTCACGACAACCACGTAACAAAATTGGGTTATAGATTCACTTACACCACACCGTTACTACTTACAAGATTATTAATAAAAACTATTTGATTTTACAAGGGATCGCTCGACAACTGATGCCAGTATTGAGCTAAATAAACATATTTTCTGTGCATGAGAGAATTCAAAGGATGCTTTAAGTATATTTTGTGAACTTTCCAAGGCTTTCGACTGCATTCACCATGAGATATTAATCAGGAAGCTTCATTATATGGCGAAAAAATCATAGCTTCTAATTTATTACGTCGTATTTAAATAAAAGAACACAAACAATTATGATTAATGGGAGTAGTTCTTCCGGGTCGGTAGTATCTATGGGTGTTCCGCAGGGCTCAATTCTTAGCCCCTTTCTGTTTTTAGTTTATATTATTGAATTACTTTACTTGGTAGGGAATAGCCATGATATTGTTTAATTTGCTGGTGATTCTTCTTCGACTTTATTGGTTCTCCGACTTAAAAGGCAATTATTTAAATATTATAAGTGAATAATGCTATATCAAATATAGCACACTAGTTAACGGTAAATATTTTCCTTTAAAACGGTAATAAAATGAAATGTATTAAATTCACCACACCCTAATGTTAAACAGATTAATACCAGTGTGCTTTTAAATGGGGAGGAGCTAAGCCTTGTTGAATCCACTATTTTTCTCGGAATTACATTTGACGCGAAGCTTCAATTGGGCGTTCATATATCTAAACTAGCTAGCAAACTTAGTTCTGCAGCATCATCATCATCATTATAGCCCTTCACAAGTCCACTGCTGAACATAGGCCTCCCCAAAGGAATGCCACAAAGCACGGTCCTGAGCCACCTGCATCCATCGACTTTCTGCATGTCTTACCAAGTTGTCACTCCATCTAGTGGGGGGACGCCCTACACTTCGTCCGCCGGTACGAAAAGCTCTTTCATTCCGTCCTCCATGGTGGCTCTACACAGTAGGCGTGGAGCAGAAGTGCGGTGATCTTGCCCTTCAACAAAGGCGACAACGCTCTCTTAAAGAACTACAGACCGATTTCCCTTCTGAGCCGCGTTTACGTGCTGTTTTCGAGAGTCATTATAAATCTTCTCGCAAGCAGGCTCGAAGACTTCCAGCCTCCCGAACAAGCTGGTTTCCGAAAAGGCTTTAGCACCATAGACCACTTACATACCCTTCGGCAAATTGTACAGGAGTCCGAGGAGTAAAATTTGCCACTATGTCTGGCGTATGTGGACTATGAGAAAGCCTTTGATTCTGTTGGAATTTGGGCGGTGCTGCAGTCCCTTCAGCGGTGCCAAGTTGACTGTCGGTGTATCGAAGTGCTGAAGTGCTTGTACAGTAGTTAATAAAATCACGGGAAAATTAATATTGCTATTAATAATAATTCCTAGTTATTTGTTATTAATTAATGAGATCCGCATTGCTTTAAAACCATTGATCTAGGCTCGTCTCTAACGCTAAAAAGTCGAAAATAAAAAATAGTTCATAATGGTGTAGCTAACACATATATTGCATGTTCGTATAATTTTCGTGTCTATATTCGAAAAACTAAACATGTTAAAATAATTAACTAAAAAAATATTAATGATGTTTTTGCCTATTCAGAAGAGCACTATTACCATCACCAATAATCCCAACCGCAATAAGTCTTAAACGGGAGAAATAGACCCTGCAATGGTGGTGTCTTTCCTAGTGTAGTGTTGTTGAGGGTAATGTTGCCTAATGTAGTGTTTTTCACGCGTATCTTAGTTAAATAATTTTAACATCTTTTTTATGATGAATATCCGCAAAGTAACGCCTGGTTCTATTAATTATGTTCGAAGTGCTGTTGTTGGTTGGTGGCACGCTATGCCCCCAGCCTTATTTTTGCCACGTGATGTCCATTTCCTTTTTCAGCAAGTGCTTTAAGATTGCGCTTGCAAAGAACAACTTTGTGTTATTGTATTGTATTGTATTGTACTACTTTGATTTTTTGTGATTGTTGATTTTGTGGTTCATATTGTTTTGTGTTCAAATGTTAAAATTATACTTAACTTAACTTAAAATTATACTTATGTGGTTGGGTTATAACTTTTGAATCAAATATTGTATGGATCATTCAAATGTTATGTATAATATGTCAAGATACATTTAGGAACATTGCAGCTTAAGATATGAAGTTACTATTTGCGTTGGACTTATCCATAGCTCTCTGACCTCGTTTGATTGATTCTTAAAAAATATTGTAATAAGATTTTAATAAGCACTTTGTCAAAAATAATTTACGATATAGACAAAATTTTAAATCTATATGTAATACAAATTCTAAGTTAGATAGATAATCATATTAACTTATAACACGACCGTCGTATCTATTGTGCCAACAACGCTTTTCTTCAAACTAGGTAAGGTTATAGGCAGGGTTGTCACTTCCACTATGGAAGGTATGGAGCACTCCATACCTCAAGTTTTTCAAGGTATGGAATTCCATAGCTGAAATTAGGAAATAAATCGCATATTACTACAAACCCCATATAAATAAATCGCAAGCCCTTAAACCTCAATACCCCACATCTTATAGTTCAATAAATAAGTTGAGTATATACACTGCAAACTCTTAAACCTTAATACCCCACGAGTAATGCGAACAAATTTGAAAATCGCGCCACCATTTTCCATACCTCAGATTTTTACAAAGTGACACGCCTGGTTATAGGCATAGTATAATTAACTTACATACAAAATATGAATGTTATATATCATTCAACTTCAATGAATGTATTATCATTCCTAATTAAACTATATAACTCTTATACATTTAAAACAATATTTGCACAATTATTTCTTTTGTGGCAGCGAAGCGCCGGGCACCAGTTAGTATACTCGTATTATGTTGTAGTGCCTCAAATATGCGCACAAATACAGTGTCAGAGGACATAGCTGTAAATTCCTATTCTACCCAGAACTCTATCTGGGCTGATATCAGTCCATATCTTTTTCTGTGAACAAGCATTGGTTCACTCAATGCTGTTTTTCAGCTAAGACAGCCAGTGTAATTACGCGATGGTGATGCATTATATCTCAGTGGGTTGCTTAGATCAACAATCTAGTCTACAATACTAGTTATCTATAACCATCTTTATTTGAAGTTAGTTGCAGGTTTGCATGGGTTGCAGTAGCCACGTACCATTAGTTGAAATGTGAGCCAGTTTGTCACTTTAATATAAAATAAAAGCACGAAAATCATTTGTTACTCTGTATTTGATAACTCCATTATAGGATAACTTCTAATCTATAGGCTGTTTTTTTTTTATTTCAATCCTATGCTGAACATAGAACTCTGGCCCATGGCCGATATTCCATGGCCATTTTAGAGTCAATACTCTCCCGCTGGTAATGCCGCCCTCCATTAGTAGTGTGTGAATTGATTTATTTATATTATAATATTATAAAGACCCGCCAGTTGTCGATCGCCATAACCGCATTCGTTAATTAGTAGAAAAATGGTTAGTGGAAGTCAGCGAAATTCGTGTTCACAGCAACGAATACAGCGCGGGTGGCACCTGCTCAACAGAGATGCAAGAGCACGGCAGTGAGGACGCCAACGGGTTCGCCATCGTCGTCAACGGACACTCGCTGGTACACTGCCTACATCCCAAGCTCGAGGAGAAGTTAGTATATCATGCTCATAGAACCACTCAACATATTTTACCTCGAGTAACGTTTAAGAGATTGGTGATAGATTAGTATAGAGCTGGCCATAAATATTTGTAGTAGAACTTTCAGCAGATTTAAAGCTATGTATATGTCGCAGCTCTATGTTTTAATCAGCCGATTGATTGGATGGCTAATCCATTAGATAATCCATTAAATTACAAAGATAAGGATAACGTTTTGGATAACTAGTCACCTCTTTCGATACGAATAAGGGTCACCAAGTCAAGCTTAAATTTAATTCCTTGTCCTACCAATGAAAACATTGACTACCCTAGGAATAATTCAATGGTATTTATATTTAAACATAATTTGGAACTGAGACTTTTACGAAATGTATGATTATCCTCGCAAATTGTCGTAGTTTCAATTAATTAATGAAAGCTGATTCAATTATCGAGCGAAATAATGTACATTAGAGCAGGATGGAAGAAGAGTAATGAATATGTTTGTATATTTAAACAGATGTTTGAATTGTGTTTTTACGTGGTGGAGCAACAGATGTTTGAATTGTGTTTTTACGTGGTGGAGCCACGCTGCAGCGAAACCGACCAGGGAGGGACCACACTCTCGCAGAATACCACTGTAAATTAATAAAATAATGCTATCGGGTTCCCTTAGCCTTAGTAAAACCCTTATCAATGGTTTCATCTGCATTTTAATTCCTAATTGAGGATCGATGTATGTGTCTACTGATCACAGCGTTTACTTACCATCAAATAAATTGTGTGCTCGTATTACACACCCTTATTTTCTATTAAATTATATTTGATAAATTAAAAGAATTAATAAAAACAAATTTTAAGATAAAAGGTAAAAGTAAATATTATGAGTTTTCTTGTGCCGTACCACTGGGGTTTGCTTCGTTTACCTCGTAATCAATGTTTGTATCATTTGATTGCCCGTAGATTTCTGGATGTGGTGTTGCAATGTCGCTCCGTGATCTGTTGCCGAGTGACGCCGTTACAGAAGGCCATGGTGGTCGAATTGATTAAAAAAAGTCGGAAGGCTGTAACGCTGGCCATTGGCGACGGCGCGAACGACGTCTCGATGATTAAAGGTAAATTTGCAATATGCATCGATAATGTGCGATCCTTGTACGGTAAATTGCATTTTTGATTGTACGATCAGGGTCCGAACCGTGGTGTCGCGAATAATTTATTATTTATTATGTACCTATATAAAAAAAAAACTTAGTGTACAATAAACTGTTAAAGTAACAAAACGTTTGCTTACTTCATATGTTTTTGTACCATCATTTTAAACCACTTTAAAACTACATAGCTATGAACTAACTAACTATGAAAGAAGCTATACGCGTCGCAAACTGTAGCCTGCAAATAATAAACGTTCCATTTCTATAACTATGTTATGTGTGTTCAATATTTTTATTCCAATTCTTATAAGGTCGATTATTTATACTTTTTATGCACTCAAAATCCAATCTTACGCCATTTTAATTAGACCTAAAATAATTTATGGTTCAAATTATCTATGTAAAATTGTACATAATTTTTAAGTAATGATGAAGTAATTTTAAGATGTAAGATTGGTTTAATGTATTTCATTAATTTTTGCATGCCAATTATGGCAAAACATGTCAGTTCCACATCATTGACTATTTTATGTACCATGTTTTAAGCAAATAAATGTTCTGTACTATTCTATTCTATTCTATGTCAAATGTTTCTGGATTGTTCGATTTGTATTCAACAATATTTATTACATTAATATTTATTTTATTATTAAAATGGTTTTAATATCCCATAGTTAATTTAGAGTAAGTTGAAGTTATAGACTATATACTTCTTACTGCTTATGCTTAGAGGGTTATGAAAGGATATATGAAGTCCCACCAGCACGCAGTGAAGAAGCGCGGTAGAGTGATTCTCCCGCGCTTCTTCACTGCGTGCTGGCGGAACTTCACATATCCTTAAAATATTTTCTTAGGAAAAGCAGCTTTCCGCACATGATAAATCAACACTTAAAATTGCAATTAAAAATTTCATTGGTGCTGACGGGGATTGATTCCAACCCGGCCTTGCGTACTATGAAATTTAAGAAGAGCGCCTTAGAGCTTGTTTGCTTGCTGAAAATAAATCTTAATTACTAGTTTATCAGAATTTCTATGCAAACTAAAAAAAAAACCACTCACATGAGCTAATTTTAACTCGTATATAATAAGGACTATTTTGAATTCCAGCGGCGCACATAGGAGTGGGTATTTCAGGGCAGGAAGGCATGCAAGCAGTATTAGCTTCGGATTATTCGATAGCGCAGTTCCGGTTCCTCCAGAGGCTGCTTCTAGTGCACGGACGCTGGTCGTACTACAGGATGTGCAAGTTCCTGCGGTACTTCTTTTATAAGAACTTCGCTTTCACCGTCTGCCACTTCTGGTTCGCGTTCTTCTGCGGCTTCAGTGCGCAGGTGAGTGATATGTAGAGAAATATCGTACTAGAATATTTACCGGACAACATTTTTCATGTTTTTGTAATTAGATTCTTAAGGATGGCTTTTTCACAGCTTGAGTGATAGCTTAAGAGAATCCATCATTCTTCTTCGTCCCATGTTTGTTTTATAAGGCGACCACATAAAATGCTAGAACTATCTGATGGCCTCCATCACAGTCTAACTATTACTAACAGTCGGTCATCGATGGCGTCTAGACATAGAAATCGTGCAGTGCGGTGCGGGCTAGACGCGGGCAGAGCGCTCCGCTAGTGTTGTCCTGTCACAAAAATAAATTAAAATGGTTCACACTACATGTGCGGTAAACAACTGTGAGTCGTTGTATGTTTTTATTACTTCCTGTTCTGACAACCCTAACAATTTATTTCGGCTTTTCCGACAACTTCAAACGCGATGACTGACTGTATGTTCTTCTTAGGCTGTGCCTCCGTTATCAAACTTACAGTCAAAATGTTTTATTCAAAACTAGCCTTTACAAAGCACTTTTTAAAGGTCGAGAAAGCTACGCCACCGCTTCAACAAGATACAGGACGTAATAACCATCTCGTATAAAATACATATTTTAATATTTGTGTTAAATTGAAATCACGTATTCCTCAAAATTTATAAACAAGATTGTTCAACCAGTGTATGATACCAGTTATATAGGCTATGCTCTCTTTTTTGTAACGATGATATCCGCGGTAAAACCAGAGTAACCTACAAAGCTCAACGGATCATTAAGCTATCAAAGGGCCAGGCATATGGCTCAAAAAACTGACATCTGATAAGGAAGAAAGGTATCATGCCATACATGGCCTTGACGGTTCAGGACCATGTATTCCTCAGTGGCGGCCTATGTTCATCAGTGGTTTTGTGAAGGTCTGTAATTATGAAGATATACATATGATATTTAGTCTTATAATTTAATAGGTGTAAAGGCGTCAAAGTTCTGAAATCACATTAAACCTTATCTTTTCCTTGTAGACCGTGTTCGACGAGATGTTTATCTCTGTATACAACTTGTTCTACACGTCGCTGCCCGTGCTCGCATTGGGCGTGTTCGAGCAAGACGTATCGGATGCTACCTCGCTGCAGTTCCCAAAACTGTACGTCCCGGGACACACCAGCGAGCTCTTCAACAAGACTGAGTTCATCAAGTCAACCTTACACGGATGTTTCACGTCACTCGTGCTGTTTCTAATACCTTACGGTAAGTGTGTAAGGCGATTTGGCCAAGTGATCGCTCTTGTGTCAGATGACAATAAATTTTAAAGTATTTCAAGACTTCCGAGAAACAGTAAAATGACAATTCTGATTATAAAGTACCTATAATATTCAGAAAAGTATCGAAAAGTTTAGGTTAAAAGTTAAAATAATACGAAAAATTTATAATATTTTTATTGTATTCGTAAAAACTTGTTAATGAAATGTACACAACGATATTAAAATGGTGGACTTTTTAATTATCTCTTAATATTACGTCTTTACATATGAAATTAGCGTTTTGACGAACTAGCCACTTTGATCTCAATAATCTGGCATTTGGTTAGGAATTCATAATTTAAATTTACGCTTGTGTATTTGTTTCGAATTTAGTGACTAATTTGTTATTTCTGTGACATCGTTCTGTTCACACTGTTCTCTTAAAACATCGCGTTATTTACGAATACGATTTCATACGTGGGACCAACGTTGTAGAAACATATTGAAGCATTAATGATGTATATTGGGAAGCTACTGTAAAAGAAAACACGGTACGTTTTTGGTTCTAACAATCTCGTTCTGGAAATTTTCACCTACAGAACAAACTCCGTGGACGGTCGATTACCCTAGTTGACAATGAAGAATTAAAAGTGATCATAGAAGCGTAAATTTTTAATTCACTAAAAACAAAAAGTGTAAAACTGGATTGCAAATTTTAAATCATAAGATTTCTTGCATCTTTATTTTTATAATATACAAAGAACACTTTCCTTTTCGTAAAGTTTAACAAATTTAATAGTATCAAGTTCAGGTCACTTTCTTTTTGCAGTGGCCATTTTGTTTTACTATTCCTATTCGAGATACTCGTAGCTTGTATAAATAATACGCGATCCGTGTCAACACAGATTGGACTGTTTGCGACGATACGAGTAGTGTCCGAGTGCGCCCGCTCTGAGCATGCTCTGATCATGTTGACGTGGCTTTATAATAGGGAAAGTTTATTCAATAATAAATAAAGAACAAATCTTGTTCACATATATATCACATAGGGCCATCGATCACTAATAAAAAACTAGATGCACAATTCCATACAAAAGTTCTCTAAAAACTGTCGCCAAATGTTTTGACGTAATTCTAGTCGATATAAACATACATTAATGTAAATTCAACCTTAAATGCATTGCATAAAGTAGTATTGACAAAGCTACGTGCAAAAAGTAGTAAAATTTTACGACCGAGGCTCGTCGCTTGGACAAGGATAGTAGAGTCGAACTGCAAATATTTTTTGTTACTGTAATTTTAATTTTATAAGTTTGTTAAATTTGTTTTAAATAATTGGTCTACTTAATAAAGAATATTCTATTCTATTCTAGGGTGTATATGTGTAATGGTTATATTATTACCTGAATGTAAATATGCTTTTGGATAGGGCATTACATTCATTTAGTAATGAAAGTAATTGAAACAGTCATAATTATTTATTTATTCTTTACCTTGTGTGAAAAAACTAAAGATACTGCTTGACAAACAACTAAAATCTAAATATAAGTATAATAGTAACTAAATATAAAAAATAAGTACAGAAATATCTTGCAAAATCTAAGAGTATTATTGTCCAAATTTTTGATGTTATTTTCATATTTACAGATCTTTAAAAAACGGATAAGACTGAATAATTATAATGATTTCTTATATTTACGCGTTCATTACACATTTAAGTAAAACTAGTTTTACGGACTTTATCGCGTATATTAACTTATTTTATATTCCCGACGTTTCGAGTACTATAATATTAAGAGAAATAGTAAAGAACTCTCATTAAACAGAAAAAAGACCATCATAATTTAATAATAATAAAAAAATAAAAAAAACAATAGCGTCTCCTCAAATGGAACAGAATCAACGCATATACCTACCTCGAATAATGACGGCTCATTTTATTACGACTTAATTTATAAAAATACTTTTACGATGATTTCTTGACAATATATCAGTATTTAAAATACAGTGATAAAAATTAAATAATGTTAATATTAATAGTTACCGAAAATATGAAAATCAATCCTTTTTTAACGTCCTGGATGTGTGATTTTTACACTTTTTAAACGAGCACTGAGGCATGTTTACCGTTGGAGCATTCGAATGCTACGAGATTAAAAGTGCACCCATATGTTCGAGTGGGTGCACATTCGGTTACGCCACTTTTTGTCACTGATTGTGTATCTAGTTTTTTATTAGTGATCGATGCATAGGGCGGTCTTAATGCCATTAAGCATTTCTTACCAGTCAACCTATGGAATGGCGAAATTTGACGTAGGTGTAGCAAGTGAGGAAAAAAAAAGTTTACATATTGCCTCTTACAATAATCCCACAGAAACCTAGGCAGTGTTTCTAAAATGACATGAAATGAATTTCAGGTACTTACAAGGACGGGCTGGCACCCGACGGCAAGATTTTATCGGATCACATGTTGCTGGGAAGCGTCGTCGCAACTATTTTAATCATTGACAATACTACGCAGGTAAGCTATGTGAATAAATTTATGAGAGTATTAATCGAAAACCATGGAAATTGCTTACATATTTTTGGGTGTCAGATGTATAAATTAAACAGACTAACTTTATTCGCACTGTGATTTAATTTGCCAATTTTACATTGATGCGTCTTATTCGACTACTTCTCCTCGACTGACTGCCTTCACTTCTGCATGTCTCATCCTGCTATCCCCTCTTGGCCGGTCACGTGGCTTAGTCACGTGACTTTAAATTCAATCAATTGAGCAACTTATAAACAATAATATTTTAATGGTTTTGCAATATAAACTTCATACTTAATAATAATTCTTAATATCTACAGGATTCTTTATAATCATAATAATATAAATAATCATAAACCTTACATTATAAACAATAATATTTTAATGGTTTTGCAATATAAACTTCATACTTAATAATAATTCTTAATATCTACAGGATTCTATACAATCATAATAATATAAATAATCATAAACCTTACATTATAAACAATAATATTTTAATGGGTATGCAATATAAACTTCATACTTAATAATAATTCTTAATATCTACAGGATTCTATATAATCATAATAATATAAATAATCATATACCTTACATTATAAACAATAATATTTTAATGGGTTTGCAATATAAATTTCATACTTAATAGTAATTCTTAATATCTACAGGATTCTATACAATCATAATAATATAAATAATCATAAACCTTACATTATAAACAGTAATATTTTAATGGGTTTGCAATATAAACTTCATACTTAATAATAATTCTTAATATCTTCAGGATTCCATATAATCATAATAATATAAATAATCATAAACCTTACATTATAAACAATAATATTTTAATGGTTTTGCAATATAAACTTCATACTTAATAATAATTCTTAATATCTACAGGATTCTATACAATCATAATAATATAAATAATCATATACCTTACATTATAAACAATAATATTTTAATGGGTTTGCAATATAAATTTCATACTTAATAGTAATTCTTAATATCTACAGGATTCTATACAATCATAATAATATAAATAATCATAAACCTTACATTATAAACAGTAATATTTTAATGGGTTTGCAATATAAACTTCATACTTAATAATAATTCTTAATATCTACAGGATTCCATATAATCATAATAATATAAATAATCATAAACCTTACATTATAAACAATAATATTTTAATGGTTTTGCAATATAAACTTCATACTTAATAATAATTCTTAATATCTACAGGATTCTATACAATCATAATAATATAAATAATCATAAACCTTACATTATAAACAATAATATTTTAATGGGTATGCAATATAAACTTCATACTTAATAATAATTCTTAATATCTACAGGATTCTATATAATCATAATAATATAAATAATCATATACCTTACATTATAAACAATAATATTTTAATGGGTTTGCAATATAAATTTCATACTTAATAGTAATTCTTAATATCTACAGGATTCTATACAATCATAATAATATAAATAATCATAAACCTTACATTATAAACAGTAATATTTTAATGGGTTTGCAATATAAACTTCATACTTAATAATAATTCTTAATATCTACAGGATTCCATATAATCATAATAATATAAATAATCATAAACCTTACATTATAAACAATAATATTTTAATGGTTTTGCAATATAAACTTCATACTTAATAATAATTCTTAATATCTACAGGATTCTATACAATCATAATAATATAAATAATCATAAACCTTACATTATAAACAATAATATTTTAATGGGTATGCAATATAAACTTCATACTTAATAATAATTCTTAATATCTACAGGATTCCATATAATCATAATAATATAAATAATCATAAACCTTACATTATAAACAGTAATATTTTAATGGGTTTGCAATATAAACTTCATACTTAATAGTAATTCTTAATATCTACAGGATTCTATATAATCATAATAATATAAATAATCATAAACCTTACATAATAAACAATAATATTTAATGGGTTTGCAATATAAACTTCATACTTAATAATAATTCTTAATATCTACAGGATTCTTTATAATCATAATAATATAAATAATCATAAACCTTACAGCTCGGCCATCCTACCTTAAGCGAGACCCTTCGCTTTGAGATCAAGAAAAAAACAAAAACAAAAAATATATGTTATAAACAAAATAACTTACAAATATATCAGTTATATAAGTAGTTATACACTATGTTTATTTATGACGTGATTGTAAACATTAATAATATTATTACATGGAATTTTTTGTAAATACCAAGTACATACATATATCTATCGCTAAATCGTTTCATTTTAACATGTTTTTATGTTCTATTAAAATAACAATTTCTTTCATAAGTAATACATCTGTAAAGAAAATGTACATGTATACCTAAATCATTACAATTTTAGTAGTATATTGTTGCCATTAATTTGTTTTATGTAAAGGAATACTGTTTAATTAAATGTAAATATAATTTACAGCAACTCTATATATATTATATTATAAGTAACTAAATGTCATCCCGCCTAACCAGCAATAACTGAGCAATCAAGTATCTAATCACTGTCACCAACGCTATTACTAGACTCATCAGACTCTAATTCTCTACAAAACGACATCCAAGGCTGAACCTTATAGATACAACTGCTTCATACCTTCTACCGTTTTTGCGAGTCATTGGTGTGTCCTCTACCACGAACCTATCATTGGAAGGACCTTTAGTATACGATAAGAGCCTTGGTACTTAACAGAAAGTTTTTGAGACTTTCCGTCGTGTGGAACCTGCCTTGCTAAGCGTACTAAATCCCCTTTTTGGCACTGCCTTGCTGGTTTCATATGCTTATTAAAATTTGCTGCATCTTTAACTTGTTGCTGTTTATTTTTTCACTAGCCTGTTGTCTGACTTCTGCCAAATTCTCAATGGGTATCCTATTTAGGGTATCATTGATTACCGTACTAAGTATGCCTCCCGTTCTACTAATTATGTTGAACCCGAATAGTAACTTAGAAGGGCTCTTTTGGGTAGTTTTATGTCGAACTGTGTTCATACCAACCTATATGTCAGCGATGTGGTTGTCCCACGACTTGTCGTCGCCGCCGTGAATAGCTGTCGATAGAGCATCTAAAATCGTTCTATTGAACCTTTCTACTTGCCCGTTTGCTCGAGGCGTTGCTACGGCGTTTATAATATGTTTGATTCCGTAAGAGGTCGTAAAATCCCGAAATACCTTACTGGTGAAACTTGTACCTTTATCTGTCATGAGACAAGTAGGGACACCAAAATAACTTACATGGTCTTTTAGCACTCGCACGGTCGTACTAGATTTGGTGTTCCTAACCGGGGTTATATTAACGAATTTTGTAAACCCGTCAACTAGGACCAACAAATAACAATTACTTTTCTTGCTTTTAACAAATGGTCCCAAATGGTCTGCGTAGACTGTATGGAACGGCACACTCACCTTTTCGGTTGGGTGGAGCTCTCCTTCTAGTTTACCTCCTGGAACTTTGTGGTACGCGCACTCAAGGCAGGAGGTAACATACTTCTGGACGAAACGCCGCATTTTTGCGAACCAATAATGGCCTCGGATTCGCTGTACGGTTCTTTCGAAACCACAATGGCCAACGTCGTCATGGTTCATTTTTAAAATTTGCCAGCGCACACTTTTGGGTATCAACAATTTTATCTCGTCACCTACCACGCGGTGAACACGACCGTTCTTCATTCTGTAGTTTTTGTGTATGTCAGATACCTCCGCCGATGATGGGTCAGAAAGGATGCTTTTGATTTTATTTACCTCGTCATCTGCAGTTTGTACCGTCGCAATCCAGTCCTGTTCAATTTGCTGTATTTGTAAAACGTCTACTACATGCGTATTACCTGAAGGAGAATTCACTGGGTTTCTGCTCAGGGCATCCGCGTGTGCCATGGAAGCACCAGGCCAGTACTCGATTGTACAGTCGTACTCCTGAAGCTGGACCCACCACCTAGCTATGCGAGGTATCAAGCCACGTTTAGTTAGAGTGGACCTGAGTGCATTGCAATCGGTCAAGATCTTAAATGGTATTCCCACCAAATAAACCCTAAATCGATTGAGCGATGCAATAACCGCCAAAGTTTCAAGCTCGTACGAATGAAACTTGCGTTCGTCAGCGGTAGTTTTCCTGCTGAAGTAGGAAACTGGTTGCAACGCGCCATTACAGTTACGCTGCAGTAAAATACATGCTAGGCCTTCTTTGCAAGCGTCGGTGTGAAGCTCGGTTTCGGACTTAGGGTCGTATAGAGCCAGCACCGGTTGCTCCACCAGAGCGCATTTAGTGCCTGTGAACGCCTGATCCTGTTCGGGTTTTCAACTCCAGTTAGCGTCTTTCTTCAGTAGATCCGTCAACGGTGCAGTTATCGTGGCATATCCCTTTATGAAACGCCTGAAGAAACCAGACAGCCCCAGAAATTGGCGCAATTCGTGCTGGCTGGTAGGTTTTGGGAATTTTGAGACGGCTTCCGTTTTTTTACTACCTGGGCGGGTCCCATTTGCACTTACTTCAAACCCTAGAAAGTCTATAACATTCAAAAAGAAATGGCACTTACTTAATTTCAGTGTGAGTCCGCCTTTCCTCAGAAGCTGTAGAACCTCGCCTAGTCTTTGGATACTTTCCCTAAAATCCTTGGATGGTATAGTATGTCATCCATGTAGACAATAGCATATTTAATTTGGGCCTCCTTTAATATTTTATGGATTGTCCTTTGGAACACAGATGGTGCGTTAACTAATCCAAAAAGCATGCGGTTGTATTCATACTGCCCATCAGGTGTTACAAAGGCAGACTTACTACGAAAGACGGCGGCGACCGGTATTTGATAATACCCTGAAGCGAGGTCCAATGACGTAAATAGGGTGTTACCTGATAACAAGTCCAACTGATCCTTGACTCTTGGTAGGGGGTAGTGTTCTTTCTTGGTCTTTCTATTAAGAGCTCTATAGTCCACACACAATCGTTTCTCACCACTCTTTTTTTGTACCTGAACTATAGGACTGGCATATGATGAAGATGACTCCCTAGCTATACCATTATCTACCATCTCCTTAACCATGTCTCTTACCAATTGTCGCTCAGCATGTGACATACGGTATAGGCGAGACACGACTGGCTCCGCGTCGTTAAGGTCGATCACCATCTCTGTGATGTTGGTAAACCCAAGGTCCTTGAGCCCACTTGAGAAGCAATCGCTATACTGAAGTAGTACCTTTTGTAGTTCTTCACGTTGCTGTTTTGTTAGCTCAGGATTGCAACTGATCTCTCCATCCAGTCCCTTATCGGCAAAAACGCTACAAGATTGGAGAAACGGTGTTGGATGAGTATTACGCATTGCTCGTGTTAAGAGAGTGTCCTTCTTTATACAAACCATGTTTGAAGAGGCGTTATAAACTAAGAGCGCCGTGTGGTTGTCTTTTATCTCGTACGTACCGGGAAAAAGATAGTACTCTTTTCCTTCAGTACCCCTTAACGAGCCATGGAAATAGATGCTACAGTTTGCCTGCCCATTAGCATTAACAATTATGGGACGTACAACGTTAACATCTATTTCCGTATCATTTTCCACTACGAGTCTTATTTTATTACACGTGAATCTTTGAAATACGATCTCAGTTGGAGTCTTAGTCATTATAATATCAGGCTTCTCTGTAAAGGAATGTCCAAGTAATGCACAGTAACTCAGTACATAATCTTCCACTACATATATTTCAATGGTTTCTTTTAACCCTTGAACTTCTACATTCACAGTAGCTACACCTAAATGGCAAGTCAGGTTCTCTCCTATTCCTTTTAATACTGGCATACCTTCCCTCACATCGATATTCAGGTTCAAATCCTTAGCGGTACTATGTCTAATTAACGAGCATTGACTCCCCAAATCTACATGACATTTGACCCCCGAGTTGTTAATCTTTATATCCAGTATATATTTATCAATAGCGCGATCATCGACAGTTACATTAGATACTTGTTTTTGTACATTATTTTTATCTAAGGCCTAACTATCGTCTTTATTAAACGGAGTTTTATTTTTAAAACAGTTATTTGCCTGATGACCAATCCTCCCGCAGGTCGTACACTTCACGAAAGGTTTTGAACATTTAAAGCTAGGATGACCTATTTCGCTGCAATTGAAGCAACGGATTCCGTTATTACTAGGGCCCGCCCTGCTCGTGCCAGACTGATTCGTTTTTTTCAGGTTGGCATCGTTACTGGAGTCACGAACTTTGCCTATCTTTACGGTCCTAAACTATTTGAGTACTTGCTCAGGTTGCTGAAATTGAGCGGCCTGAGCACCAACTTTAACGGCACGATCTTCAACCCCATAGAGCAAACAGTCTACCGCTTCCTTGTCATAAATTTTGCAACGATTTAACAAGTTTATTTTAGCATAACAGTAGTGTTCTAGCGACTCACCGTATTTAACGGTTTTTGCTAGCATATTATGCAATAATTCAGCATAGTCCTCGCTTTGGGGAAAAGATTCTATCAGTTTTTTTTTCCACTCAGTCCAGGTAAATAATAGGCTAGATAAGCCCTGATACCACGTTTTAGCGACACCAGAAAGCTTGGGTAACGAATAGTGGATAATTTCCCTGTCTTCCCACCCATATATGTGAGCACATTCATCCACTTTCGTTAGCCAAGTAAGAATGGTTTGTTCCTTTACCATTGGGTCGAATTCGGGGATAACATTTGTGTTAACCGTAAGTTTGGGCCTATCTAAACCTTTCATTTTGTCAAGAATGTTCAAGAACTTATCTAATAATACCTTCGTATCCGATCCGTTGTCCTCCTTACCACGCTTAACCTTGCATGGAAGACGCACGCCGTCTCCTCTGTCCTGTCCTTGTCCTTTTCCGTCTCCGCCTTTCGTATTCGTCCCTGTTGTCAGAGCCACTTGATCGTTGTCCGCTCGATCGCCGACCACGCGATCGTCGTTCACTCGATCGCCTTCCACGCGATCGTCGTTCACTCGATCGCCTTCCACGCGACCGTCCTCTTCGAATCATCGTATCCTTGTCCATTTTATCCAATGGTACCGATTGCTCTATCCTCGAGCTCATCCTCCTAATCCTTTCCTGTTGATCTACATCCTCAACCTCGGATGCTCCTTGGTCACTCCCATGTGTTAGTCCTTCCCCTCGACTAAGCACATGGGCTCCTTTTATCATTGAGCCACTTCCTCTTACTAGACGAGTACTAGAGCCTTCCCCTCGGCTAGTGTCGGCCTCCATGTCACAGTTGAGCGTAACTGAAACTGACACTGTTGAGCTTAGAATGGTGATAATTATAAACTGCTTTAACCGGGTACAATAATTGCAAAAATTAGGGTAGGGTTATTTAAATGCCATAATATCGAGTACATTCCCAAAAGCTAGAAGAGGAAATTGTATAAATACACTTCCCGTTGGCACTACAATATTATGTCCTACGCAGTTCGTATCCTGAAATTATTGCGGTGTGCAAAATCGTGTGGGGAACGAGTATTATCACCACATTTAACGTACCTACACATCGCTTTGTTCATTACTAGCGACCGACTTCGGCTTAGCCTGGATAGAATCTATTAATGTGTGTTATTTAAAAGTTGAGTTAAAGTTACAGCCTATATACGTTCCACTGTTGGCCGCAGGCCGCCCCTCATTTCTGAGAAGGTTTTAGGGCAAGGAAATGTCTGCTGCGTTGCCCCAATGCGTGTTGGCGAACTTTTTTTTTCTTATTTCTCAAACATGTAGGTTTCCTCACGATGTTTTCCTTCATTGCGGAGCACGTGGTAAACATGGCACTTAAAATTGTAATTAACAATTTCATTGGTGCCGGCGGGGATCGAACCCGGGTTGGTCGCGTATTGTGAAATCTGAGTGTGTTATCTCGTTATATTCACTTACGTAAAATACTACTTGAAACACTGTGAATGAGATTAATTATAGCGAATCTGTCTCGTTTATCTTTAAAGTCTACTATAATATTCACTTAAAGTTACTTCAACTCTTTTCAGTTCAGTTTCAGAGAAAGTGCTACCATCTGAGCTACAACTGCTCATCATGCTTTATCAGATATTTTTATAATGACGCTAATTTTACAAATATCCACAAAAATATTTACAACAAATGACATCAAGCACCCCACGCTTTTTTACAGTAAAATGAATTTTTAATGTTAGTCACTATTTTCTTATTTTAAACTTATTGAAAAGTATTTTCTACTTTTTACTTCGGTTATCTACAAAAGCGTGTTTTTTTTAGTTTTTTAAAACTATTATTTGTTTTCTATTTTTTAGTGCGGCTAACTACAAAAGCGTTTTTTTTGGAAAGAAGTTTTTTTACGCGGCTTACAATAGATTGAACTGGCAGAAATCGCAGTTGTTTTATGAATTATTCGCAATTCCTGAGGATCCTGGCAAGGATAATGGGACAAACTAAGTGTATAATATAATAAGTGTGCGAAGTTTCAAATCAATCCGACGTTTTGAAGGGGATGCAAAGCGCATTCAAAAATTCCGTTACATAGATACAGATACATACCAAGCTAATAAAATCGTATTAAAAAGGTCAAAATATATACAATTATTTCAGATCGCGCTCGACACAACATACTGGACAGTTTTCAATCACGTAACGATATGGGGTTCGCTGGTATCGTACTTCGTGCTGGATTACTTCTACAACTACGTGATCGGTGGCCCGTACGTCGGTTCATTGACTGTTGCACTCACGCAAGCCACGTTTTGGTTTACTGCCGTACTTACTGTAAGTATTGGTTAAGTTCATTTTTACTCATTTGATGTGTAGGAAACTGCCCAATATTTTTAAAGAAAAGACTAAACATACGAAGCTACTGAAATGGTTGGTATTAATGCTTCAGTGAATATTTGAAATGTCCTTGAATTAAATAGTACTAAAACTGTTTCGCGTTCTTTCTCATCATCCTTATTAGTAAAGCCCGCAAATACATTCCTGAATATTGGTTTCTGCCACAGTTTGCCACTGATTGTATATTCTCGTAATTATACTATGAGACATTGTATTACCAAATTGTTACTTTATGTAGAAAGGGTTCATTTTATATTGACGGTTTTATGGGGTTATATGTCCGACTTCAGATCACTTTTTGAGTTTGTTATTAGTTTGAGTTATCGATCCTTGTCTGTATTAATAAAAATTTAGTTGAATGCAATTATCAGTGTAGATTCACCATATGCTCGGTTTGAGGTCTGAGTTGAGAGCATTAGAAAGAATTAAAAATATTTTGGGTGCAAATTAATACTAACACACGAGTTGAAAATAAGAAAAACACTGAGTATATAACGCAGTAAAATTAATATAGGTTTTTTTTTTACTTTATACTTTAGATAAAGATGAATCGATTGATAACTCATTTGGTAAAATTTAAATGGAATGTTAAGTACGTATACTATGTTGAAAATTAACTGTTACATTTTCTAATTATGTTACTGAATGTAAATATCGATAACTTTGTAGTTACATATTTACATTCAGTATTTCAAACAAAATCAACAAAATTTTTGGAACGTTAAATAAGGGTTACGTTGCCGGCACAATTTCGTGTCAAAATAAAATATATAAATTAACTCTTTATGTTGTTGCTGTATCGAAAATAATGTTGTCAATTAGTTAATAAATTTTCATCCAAAAATAAGAAGACATTATTTTGAAACACGTTATAGTGTCTGCGTACCTAAATCATAATTTTGTGCCTGTACATCCTTGATGGCAAAGTTAACTTTCATAGGTAAAGTTGCTACATTTGACTGTATAAGGGAAAATCCTCTACAACGACAAATGTCCATATTCATTAGTGGAGTATAAAGCAGATCGATGAGGAAGAAGGAGGTATTTGCCGGAGGATTGGCATTGATTGGCGGTGGTGTTGTCGTCAGACGATGATCCTGATGGTGCCGGTGGTGTCGTGGCGGCTGGGCAGCTCGTGGACGCGGCCCACGCTGGCGGAGCGGCTGCGCGCGCGGCAGCGCTGGCGCGCCGGCGCGCCCGCGCCCCGCACGCCGTCCGCGCGCCGCGCGCGCCGCTCCGTGCGCTCGGGCTACGCCTTCGCGCACCAGGAGGGCTTCGGCCGCCTCATCACCTCCGGCAAGATCATGCGCCGCATCCCGCACGCCGACGCCGCGCTCTCCGCGCTCGCCTCGCTGCCCGGCAAGTTCCACCCGCGCCCCACCACGCCGCCGCCCTCGCCCGCGCCCACCGACCCCTCCGCCACGCCCACGCCGCCCACGCCGCCCACGCCGCCTTCGCCCCGCGCGCCCAAGCAGGACCTCGACTCGGTCGACTTATGAATCGGACACCGGGCCGTTCCGCGCGCCGCCGACGCTACAAGCGTATCTCTACATCGCTCCCAGCGTATCTCTACATCGCTCCCATTTTTAAAATAATCGCCGCGATGTCCGCGTGACTCCGTGCGTATCAGCTTTAATGAAATCGTTCGCCGAATTCTACATGCGAACACCGAGTTATCTATGCTCGTGTCCCTCTGAAAGTTTTATCGACGCCCCGTTTCACCCCCACCCTCAAACCTCTAACTCCACCGTTGCCATACTCGGTGGAATTATAAATTACAGATGAGGACAGACCCGTGACAATGACGATTGATACATAGAACATCCGTTTACTAGCGTGAGCGTCAGTCAAGGCGTCAACAATTAAGGAGTATTTCAGTGTTGTACACTGATCCACACACTTATTGTTAACAAGTATTCAAATTTGTATTGTAATTTTAGCTTATAAGCGATTGTCGCGCCGAATGAGAATGACAAAGTATATCTTCAGTATTGCATATTGATCAAAGTATGTATATGTGTTACGCATTGACAGGCTTCAACGTGACTTTTACTAATTCGCAAGCGATGTACCGCCTCCTAATATTCAAAAGTCCGTTTAGTAGGCGATTACCTCAGTATTCGATTAGATCTCGTGTGACTAATGAACTGACGATTTAACCGGATCGATGCCGACCGGCCGCTTGCAAACACCCTCTGTTGTACTTACACGTCCGTACTCTCGCCGGCGATACGCGTGCGTAGAGTAATTGTCATCTCCACTATCAATAGGTATTCTTCAATATAAAAGACGAAATATACAATGTAAGAGCGAAAGCAAAGTTTGTAATTACTTCTGAAAGTTACAAACGATACATTACTTTTTAAATAGACGGCATAATGTCGTCGAAACTCATATTGTGATAACGTTAATAGATTTAAAAATTCGTATAATATTATTGCCTATATTAAATTATATTTGTTGATCGAGAGTATATATTGATAGATATTTATTATGGTACATACTAAGATTACTCTTTTATATCGGAAATGTAGTTATTTCGTAATGTTCCTTTGTAAGTTGTAGACGTGTAGTTCCGTTGACCACACGCACCACCCAACGATTTTATTTTTACACTATCATAAAGACAAAAACAAGTGTACAATGTATGTAAAGTTTAAACTGTATTATTGAATATGTTACCAGGACATTACTCCGCATTTGATTGAGATCAACAATATATTTTTCTTATTCATTTTTAATTTGATAATAATTGACCCTTAGGCTTGATTTTTTTATTTTGTCGTATGTGCCCGAAACCTTAGTAAAATGTGCATTTATAAAATTGTCAATGATGTGAACAGTGAAAACGCCACATTATTCCCTTTAATCTGATTTGTATACAATCATAAAAACAACCCTAAACAAAAAAAATGTAAAATACTTACCAAATGTTATACATGTTGATAAGATTTTAAGGGTTAAATAATTAATTCATATTACATTTGAAATTGATTAATAATTAATGTGAATTTTGTAATAAAAGTTGTTTGTGATGTTGGAAGAAGGTTTAATACGATATGTAAATAACACTCTGTCCAATCCTAAAAGGACACATAGATAACCGCAATGATATTATCAAAACAAATTAAAACATCATATTATTAATGAATATAAAAATGTTAATGTTATTAAAATATATTCTTTTTTAATTACAATTTGTTTAAAATTTATCAACTTTTTTAAATCAAGCCACACCGTCGTTGGCGACGGTATCTTTGATCATGTAGCGGTAATGTTACTCGAAAACTGCCTGCGCCGCTTTAGTTATGATTTACCCGATTTAATAAATTTTTTTTGCGAGGTAATTTTTTCATTTATTCTTTAGAAAGTATTACATAAAAAATCATATCACGATACTTAAAAGCATCCACATAGAGCGGACAGGTGCTTTTAACATATTGTAAATACCTATTTACCACAGTTCTAATGTAACAATCAATATTCATTCATAACCATACAGCGACGTACATACCCGTAACATAAGAACTGTACATACTCGTATGTAAACATCATCATGATAATATGACATTCAATAAATAATAATAGCGGATAGTATCATGTGGCGTTTTAACTGATTAATAGAAACATTTGCTTTGGAATCAATTTTTTTTTATTAAAAAATTACTCTCTTAACAGGTTTTTATTTTCTTACCAGGAGTACCTAATTTCCTTTACAAAGTGCCAATTAACCGATTCAGTGTGAATGGCACACCAGGCGTGCCATCGATTATTTTTGTGTGTGGCGTATGACACGCGAGTCGTGTCTTTTTAAAAATCGTTATAACTCGCTCAAAGTGCGATTTTGGCAGATTTATCCAGAACAAAATATTCATTATTTTGCAAGTAGTTCATGCCTACAGCTTCGTTTCTGGATATTTTGAAAATTTGAAATTTTTAGGGGTTTGACAACCTTTTTTAACTTGTACATGGTACTCTTTTTACTTTGTAGGTTTGAAATCATGTTGTGGAAAAATAGTCTTATAAGTAACAAATAATAGCACTCATTGCGATCGCTCACAAACTCAAGTTGTAAAAAAAATGCTGGAAAACAAGTCTCCTGATAAAAAAAACAATGCGTTTGTCTTATTGTTTAATTTTGCTTAAAATGGTTGAACTGCCGTCTTATTACTATCATATGGCCGAATAGACCTACGAAGTACCATGTGCTCTTGTGACACATATATCAGGTTTATTTTTGTTTGAAACAGTTCGAAATCGCTCATGCATAAGAAAAGTTCGCTAATAAATAGTCTTTTGTCAATCCGCCGCCGTATAGCGCCGGCATTTTTTCCTTTTGAAAACACTTTTGCTATTCTTACTAACTAGACGTTTTCAGACCGACTTTACTTTTACGTTTGTATAACATTAATCAATGAATCATAAACCTTATTTTTTCCCAAATTAAGGTTCTTGATTGTTTTATATTTACAAATGTTATTGTACACGCCCTTAGCTGTCCCGACAAAGGTCGACTATACAGGGGCCCATACAGCTGTAGACTCGACGGATAACTAAGGACGGGGCCCAAATGGCCTTATGGAGAGTTATCCTACACCACAGTGATAAAGCCAGGTGAATAAATAGTACGTACCTGTTCCGAGGCGAAGAAGGCTCACAGGGCTCGTTCAGGCGTTAATTGTCGTGAATGGAAGTAGTGTGTGAGAAGTGTATATCTGTGTAACCTAAATTAGCCCTTTTAATCAGCAGCAACCCTGACTCCGGCACCGCCCCCCGGCGTGGTATTCTCCAGCGGCGGCAGCAATGGACAATTTCTTTCTTCAATTCACTATGTCAGTCTATCAACCTTATTGTACATTTAACTAACTTCAAGACGCAACTAAATCCCGTTACTTATAATCAAAAAACGTAACACGCGGCACGACGGATGACCGGTGGGTCAAAATTCACTTACGTTCACTCCGTAAGAAATTATTTCGAAAACCGAACGCGACCTTTTAAGGCAGTTAACGCAACGGTACAATTAAACATTAACTTCTCAACAATGAGCCAACCCGGCGTCTAATGTTCTAGACTACACAATTCCTCGTCGCTGCACAAATCCGTTAACAAAATCGACACTATCAGAGGCAACTACGCGGCTCGATTCGACTCACAGTAATTTAAATATTGCAAAATGCACTTCAACACGCAATCACTAATAGCGAATTTAAACGCGCACAAATACTAAAATTCTAGACCACAACCGAAACTGGTCGTGCGAAAAAACGCTGCAGCGGTCACTACAAAATACGTGGATTAACCGCACCGCTGCTCTGAAGCTACTGTCGTCAGCCCGCGCGTTGAGCGACTGCCCGCGGCACGCAGCCGCCTCCCCCCGCCGTTGGCGTTACCTCACCTCGACACCATCGGGTGATTTACCAAGTCAAAGGCGATTGGATGCCGTCTCAAAATGACCATTTTTGGGCCTAAGCAAACCCCCGTCCAGGACATAAGGACTTATGTCCGCGAGCAACCGGCAAGCGGGACAGGGTCGCGACGGCACGTTGCAAGACCGAATCTACAACCAGAACCTAGGCCACCTTAGACACCCCATCAGATCTTGCAACCTTAACCACCGCCTCAAAAATACAGCCCCAATGTGGGCAAGCCGGAGGGTCAAACCTCCACTGGATGCCCTTCCTGGACATCGCAGCACCTAAATAAGTCCTGTTACTGGACAGAAGTCCGACGACTTCCTTCAAAGACCTATCTGTGCCCCTATGATTCGTTCCGCAATCAGACCGGATCAGGTCTGCAAACAGAGACGCGATACGAAGCGGCCCAGCGTGGCCACCTAAGCTTCAGTGCAGAGAGCACCCACATGGCGCATGCGCGGGAGTAGTGGTCGCGCATGCGCGAAGACACTTTAATTTAATATTAAATAAGATATTAATATAAAATAAATATTTAAATTTAATATAAAAGATCTTAATTTAATCTAAACAAACATATTTCTAAATAAAATGTAATAATAATAATTTTATGGAATTCACAAATCTTCAATTTACGCAATATTTAGTTTGTATGGATTGCACTACAGTTCAGTTGAACATAGTCAATAATAGTTATACGCATTATGAAGGACGAAGCAAACCGTTTGGTTCGAATCCGTGGTATGTCGACTACAAAGGACTTAACAGCAGCCGAGAGTCTGGTAATTCCACGATGGAATGGAGCGGGAGCAATTAGATAATGCAGTTCCTGTGCACTCTCTCTGCATATATCCTGTAAAACACTGAAATGCTGGCTATTTTGTGCCTGTGCTTGAAATTGGTAAATTCCTTCTAACCATATTGGTGCCAACAAAAAGCTTCCTTATATATTACTTATACTCTTTAACCAAAAAATCTATTTTGCAACACAAGCTCATATATTCCAGCAATAGATGATCGAACTAGCGGTTTAAATAGTGTTTTCCCGCCGCGATGTATTGTCGCACCTTTTCAATAACACCTAA